GAGGACGTCCTCATCAACACAGGTCGCGATATAAGAGCCGCTTGCATCGTGCGAAACGTCCCCGCCGGTGAGTATCGGCTCGATGGTTTTGGCGGCTTCAAAGGTTGTTTTGTGGTGGATTTTGGTACCCATCGTCGCCGCATTTTTTCATTCCCGTATTCATGCCATTGCACTAACAGCCCCCGGATTCTTTTTCTAGAGTTCTATAATCCCCCCCCTTTTCCCACCCCCACAAATCTGGGGGAATGTTTCGGAAGGGCACGAATGCCATGCCTTGGCAGTGGCAATAGTCAGAAGGCTTGCAGCTTCTACTGTCTCTTCTCGCAATTCCATCTTAAGAGCATCCGCATTCGCTTGCTGGGGGAACTTTTGCAGTTTTTGCTTGTTCCCTCTTGCCCAAGATAAGAGAGACCCGTGAGCACCCCCAGAGCGCCCATGAGTTGACCGCAGTTGGTTTCGCGCAAGAGCACATGCGTGTGAATACGCGGGAATCACTCAGGCAGACTACAAAGATGCCCGCTCGTCCAGAGATTCCCAAGTGCTCGGTCGCTTGCAACTATTGCCGCTTGAAGAAGGCCAAATGTAGGGAGGACACTTCCACCACCAACCCTGCTGGACTACCTTTATTCTTTCTCTACAACTACTAACTACGCACAGGCACAGGAAGTCGGCCGTGCACAAATTGTGTAGTAAGTGGTCGCACCTTGCCCGCTCAAGCGCCAGCTGATTCGGATCGTCGATGAGCAGTCCCATAGAGAGCAATGTGTCTTTCCCGACAAGTCTTCCAGGAGGAAACCAAGTCACAGCCAGACCTTTCTAGAGCGACGTGTTGCTTCACTGGAGCAACTACTTTGGCAGCACGAAGCTCCGACAAGATCAACGCCTACTCCATCTGCTCCCGTACAGTATGTCGATGGGGCTCTGGAACAGCAACCGAGTCCAACATCTATTCAACCGTCGGCGAGGTCAGAGTCATCGTCCAAATCCCCTTCTACGTGCCGTTCATTCGCCCCACCGGATAGCTCTGACAATACATCGCCTGGAGTGCCAACCTGGATATCCAGCTCAGCGGATGTGGCTCCGTCTATCTTTGACATTCGTGATCTTGCACCCTCAGAAGTCAATCTATCACTGGCCGACCCGGTCTTGAACTTGGACAATGAGCCCAGCAACGGTTCAACATCAGCGATAGCTCCAACGTCCTCTGAAAATTTGCGGCAGGTGCCGTCGCCCACACAACAGGACGCCGGCCACAACACAGCCACAAGCGAGTCGAGTATTGTCGCGGAAAATGCTAGCGACCTGCGTGATGTGACACCTCCATCTCCTGTGCAGGAAGTAAGTCTTCTCCCATCAAGCATATCGCGCTCTTGGAGTTCAGCGGCTAAATCTGATCTATTAGGGCGACATCCAGGAGCATATTGGTACGATTACTAACAGGGGTTGATATAGCGAAGCAACACTGACAATGTGGTGACAGGCAAAGCCTCTTTCCTGACCATCTGCTCTCCACACGGAGTCGAGTGGATTTGCGAGCAGCTGGGTAACTCGGACTTTCACCATAGCGCAAGCCGGCTGGCGGTTACCATAACGCGATCGTTAAAGATGACGAAACCGCTCTCAGTCGAACGGCAACCCGATCCAGACTACGAGACAGCTTTGCTGTGGGCTACGGGTCAGTTCCGTGGCTGTCTCACGACTCAAAGATCTGTCGCTGACCCGTTATCGCTTCTTAGCATATTTTGAAGACAGCATCGAGCACACTCTGGGACTCGTGCCTCGCCAGGCCTTCGAGCGTAGACTTCAGCAGCATTATTCGCACCCTCTGCCTGCTGATAGTGACCCGCCATGGTACAGCCTCCGAAACACCGTGTTTGCGCTAGGAAGCAGGCTTGCACTGTGCCGAGGCAGTGGACCTATGAGCTATACAACTGCACAGAGACAATCTTGGTTGTACTTTGAGAATGCCATGGCTGTCCTCACCAATCTCCTCTACATGCCATCAGACATTACTGCTGTTGAGTGTACCTTGCTCATGGTAAGCCGAATCACCATAACGTACTGCTGCTTAGTTTGGCTGATGTCGATACAGGCGTTGTACTGCGAGGCTATCTCAGCGCCTTCTCTGGAATATATGTTGCTGTCCACGGCAGTCCGGTTAGCCTACTCCAAACGTCTGCATCTACAACCCCCTTCCTCATGTATCCTGTCCGAATCCGAAAAGGTGACGCGAAATTGGTTGCTATGGGTATTGTACATGTACGACAAGCACGTTGCCTGTAGGTCTGGTCGACCCTCGGTAAGAGCCATCTGTATCCCTGGAATGTCTTGGTGGATGTTCTGACGGAATTCATCTCGTAGATGATTCGCGACGATGATATCAACGTTGCTTTACCGACCAAAGCCCGAGAAGACACCTCCACGGACCTGGGCCTGCTACTTGCTTCCGTCCGCCATGCCCAGATCTCCTACGCCATCGAGAGAGAATGTTACGGGACGAAGGTCGGGCTCCAGTCGATTGAGGAGATCTGCAAGACCATCGAGAGACTAGACACTGAGTTGCGATCCTGGTATGCAGACCTGGGACAAGAATATCTTCTCTACACGCCCAAGCGACCCAAGGTCCTGCACCCTCGGATTAGCCACATCCACTTCCTGTTCCTCCAGCACTGTTTTCACGGATCGATGTGTGTGCTGCATTCCGCCATCACACAGCCTTGGAGGAGCAATAAACTTCAGCAGAGCCAGAGACCCGAGCACGTCAAACAGATTCAGGAAAGCTGTAAAACCATCGCAGAGTCATCTCGGGTCATCGTCCTCAATTCTCAAAAGTTCCCGATCGACGCCACGACCCCTTCTTGGTGAGTCTTTTCCAAGTCTGCGCCTTTTCGTTCAATTGTCGCCCTCTACAGATGCTGACCATAACCTCTTGTGCCAGGTTGGTTTTCTATTTCCCGATCCTCGCAACCATGAATCTGTTCCTCAACACGGTGCGCTCGCCCAACAATCCCTCTGCGCAGTCCGACATTACCTTGATCGACATCGTTGCCGGGACGTTCGCCAGGCTCGACTATGCCAGTAGCGGGCACATGAGCATAAGTTTTCCTCGAGAGGTCGCTGACTATGCTCGCGCTCTGGTTTCCAAGTCCCGCGAACAGTATCGAGAGCCAGACTCGCGCCAGTGGACCTCGGATCTTGACCAATTGTTCAACCTCGACGCTGATATGGCGGTTAGTGGAAAAGCCCCTGCTTGGCCATTCGAGCGAATCCCTTGCTAACGCATGCCACGATCAAAAGTTCACAAACATGGACATGGTAGATTTCGAATCGTACGAATGGCCTCTGATGCCTTCCAGCTGTTCTTGACATCACTACGATGCAGATGAGTTGCCTGATACAACCACTGGAAAATGCCGAGGCGATCCTTTGAAGTTCACGAAAACATATGACGGATGTTGTTTGTCGACCGCTGTCGGCGATCCATCTGTAGCGAACGAGAAAAGGCACTGGTACATGGATCACAGCCACTCTCCCACGGGGAAATAGGATTACTGTGTGATGGCACTACTCGGAGATGATTACAAGTGCACCAGACACCACAACTCGCTCGTCTCCTCTGTGGGACAGAAGAGAAAGATGGTAAAGAATGGCTCTATTACAACCATTCAACCACGTGAGTCATCTCCATGGACAGCCTCCGCCAGACGAATCTGACAATTTTCGCCAGATGCTCCCATCTTCGTCTTTACCTCTGTTGGTATTACAGTTCGAGGGTAATGTGCCCGCGTCAGCTCCATAGAGGCGCAACGGCCACGTCTGCGGGTTTAATAACGTGCTGTGGTAAATGTGGGCAACATACTCCTAGCACGATGTTTCGGACTGTGGACCAGAGCTACACCACATGACATGACCACCAGCTTCCGATCCGTTGAGAAAGCCTCGAAAAGCGGCTACTGTGATATTATCATATATTGCGATTTTTGGATCTGGATCTCTATACTACCACAGAGAATCTGACCAAGATTCAGCGAGATGGAGAGATGGTGGAAGTGCTGGAAGCAGATTGAAACCAAAAAGACTTGAGAAGGACTGGTCAATCACCGAAACAGGAAAAGGTGTAGCGAACCCTCCGTTCAGTTCACGTAGAGGACAAGTTCGGAAGAGAAAGATGTACTCGGTATGAGGGGGCCCCACCAATTCCCCAATTTAGTTACCTTGATCACATTACCCAATTTGGCCGGGGAGTTGCGTGTCCCCGGCTTCCGGAGGGGGAGAAGACCATAGCCCTCCTAGTCTCCCAGAAGCTATCCGTCTTCTACAGGACCCTCGCGCCTGGGAGAAGTACCGCATCGGAGTGACAACTTCGTTTCTTACCTGACTTCTCGTGAGTAACCACTTCCTCTGACAGAAAGAGGGCCATTGGGCTGAGACAGACAATTGGCTTCTAGCATCAACCTCGACTTGAATTGACCCACCTGAGGCCAAAAGCCCCTCAGTAAAAATGGGCTACAACACAGAAAAGACGGAATGGCCGACATTCGAGATCAACAAGGCCGTCAAAGAGCTCATCGACCAGTTTTTCTGGCAGCTAGACCAGCAGGACCCCCAGGTTGGCGACATTCTGGCGGACGACATCTTTGCAAAAACCGGAAAGGCAGAGTTTGGAGGACACTTGTACACTGGACCGGAGGGTAAGTCTGCGCTGCCCCGCTTTCCTCCTCACACTCCGTGCTCTTCACTGACGGCTGACTGGCTGACTGGCTGCTGTCACAGAGATTCGCAAGTCCAGAGACAATGCGTGGAAAGTGATATCCAGCCGCCGCCACGAAGTCTTGAAGGTCTTCTCAGCCGACCTCGACGGCAGCGATCTCCTCTTCATCGGCAATGTAGCAATGGGCCTTCGCAACGGGAACAGCGTGGCCGGAGAGTTCACCGGGAGGCTTCGCATCGAGAATCCGACGTCGTCGCAGCCAAAGCTCCTTCTTTATCAGATTTGGGCGGTACGTTATTTTTTTTTTTTTTTTTTTTTTGGTTCTCTTCCTTTGTTTTTGTCATCGTGGACACGGCATTAACGACTTTTGGGCCTATCGCAGGACTCTGCACCGCTGGTCAAGGCACTGCAAGGAAACTGAGAATGCGGCGGTATTGGGGGCAGCAAGCGATTAAGATCGAGGGTGAATCCATCAAGATAGTCTCTATTACGGAGTATCTGTCGACTCTCGCAGATCGAGGACCCCAGAGCCGGAAGCGGTGGAGGTGGCTGATATAGTGAAGCCTATGTCTGCGACGAATTGTCTCTACAAGATGTATTGCAATTCTTTGATCACTGAAAGACCATCCTATTTCTGATTTTCCTTGTCTGACCGCTTCCGACTTTGACCACGTCTCCAACCTCAAGCGATACGGGCTCTTCAGGAAATCTATGATATCAAACAGCTTCCAACATTTTCTCTCCAGATTCAGAGCTTGCTCGAGTATGCCTTGCCAGTATCCTCCTTCAAGTACTCATCCTTGGCGAATTTCTCGTAGAATACCAAGCTGCCAGGGTTCTCAACTGCCCCGGACGGTGTGACATTTTGACCCGAGACGATCTGCTTGACGGCCAATTCGATCTTCTTCCCGTTGATCGTGTAGGGGATCTCGGGGGTCTGGAAGACGAAGCTGGGCACGTGCCGAGGGCTCAGGGCGGTCGCGATGGCAGACCGAACGGCAGCAACTGTGGATTTTGGAAGAGGCCGGTCGTCTTTCATCTTGATAAAGAGTATGACGCGCTCATCCGAATCTTGCGGCCGACGCTGGCCCACGCAAAGGGTGTCTTCGAATTCAGGAAACTGGCTCACCACGTTGTAGATTTCTGCCGAGCCAAATCGAACACCCGAGGGGTTGAGTACGCCGTCACTTGGGAAGAGTCAGTCTGAATAGAAACACACACAGGCAGGCATAGTAGGCGGAAGAACTTACGATCGGCCTAACATAGTAAAGCCACCTGTAACGGGCGACGACGAGACGAAATCCCCCTGAGTCCAGACATTATCGCCAAATCGGTCGAAATAGGCTGATCTGTACTTTTCCATGCCCTTCTCGCCCCAGAAGAGAACTGGCTGAGAGGGGAAGGGTTGAGTACAGACCAACTCTCCCGGCTCTCCAGTGTTTTTGATCGACACGGGATAGTCCTTCGTGCTGTCCAAGATATCAACAGCCATGCCCAGGGCTGGAACTTGAATTTCTCCCGAAAACAGAGGGCTGGTGGGGTCGCCTAGAACAACTGTACGCGAGAGAAGGTGAGCTCCATCGAAATAGAAAATGTCAGAGTCCGGCCGACCTACGTGAGCATGCCATGTCGGTTCCTCCACTACCCGACACGAGATGGATTTTTCCCGGGAATCCAGCATCGTAAAACCACTCGCAAACCTTGGCCGGTAGGACCGATCCTGTCGAAGAGACTGTTCGCAGGCTACTTAAATCAATTGATTCCCCTTGCGAGATCAGTAAAATGTCCATCTTACCAAGTGAGGATTCTGCTTACTGGGATTGAGGTGCTTGTCGTGAAGGTCGGTCAAGAACCGTGAGGAAGTGCCGAATAATGATATTCTGTCAATAAAGAATCAGTAAAGCTTTTAATTGATCTTGTGCAATACTCCTGTACTTGAGTTTCTCAACCATGCGTAATGTGATCAGAGGATCAGGATAGAGCGGAGACCCGTCATAGAGCACAACGCTGCCTCCATACGAGAGGCCACAGAGAACCATGGCCCACATGATCCAGCCGGTCTAAGATGTGTCAGTGAGAGTATTTGGACAATGTTTTGTTCAGGGGGTGTCGCACGGTAGTATACTGGTAGATGGTGTCACCTGGTCGAACATCCAAATGGAGCATATAGTCTTTCTTGATTTGCAACAACATGGCCTGCCAGAGTCAATCGAGTCAGCGTTAATTCATCCTCGGGCGTTGGATCCCCAGGTCGAATCAGACTCACACATGCACTATGGACAATGCACTTTGGAGCACCTGTCTATACCCACGTCAGCCAACATCATATTACCCAAGTCCTGAATGTGAGACTTGCCGTGCCAGACGAATACACGATAAATCCGGGTTGCCTGAATGGCAACTGGGCAAAAGTGAGCTCCCTGTCCGGAGCTCCGTTGACAAATTCGCTCCACGAGACAACGTTGGTCTTGCCTTTGGTTGGGTATGGGATCTCCCGAACGATCACAACACCGAGCTCGAAGTTTCTCGTCTTTCGCAATCTGGCGAGACATTCGTCGCACTTCTGAACCAGAGGGCGCCGCTTTCCGTTATACTGGACCGAGCTCTCGAAAATCACCACTTTCGGTTCGATCTGGTTCAGTCGCTGCATGATGCCTTCGACGCCCATATCAGGTGAAGACGTGGACCAGACGGCACCCAAGCTCAAGACGGCGAGACAGGCAACAATCGCTTCGAGACAGTTGGAAATGACGGCGGCGACGCGATCACCGACCGTCACCCCCGCCTGGGCCATGGCGCTGGCCATGGCTTTGACCATCTCTCGAAGTTCGGGCTTGGTCACTGGCCTGATGACCTCGCATGCCTCCGAAACAGCATACAGCGCGACCTCATTCAGCGTCTCGATGTCCAGTAAGTGCTCTGTAAAGTTCATGCGGACATGGGGAAAGAACTCGGGCGGAGGGTACATGGCAAGATTCTAACCCGCGTTAGAGAGACAGACAAACCCCATTTTCAGGTGAGGAATTTAGTTTACGAACAATCCGTTCCATCGCCTTGGTAGGCACTATCCCGGGCTTTATCTGCTCGTACTGAAACAGCTCGACCCAGAAGTCAGGCGCCGTCCGAGGATCTGTCGACCATGCATGTAGGTCTGCAAAGTTTCGCAGATTCAGTCCTCTGCTCGCATTCACGCGCCGACGGAATATGTCCATGTTTGTCTGCGATGGGTCGGCATGTTGCCAGAGCTTGCGCGGTGCAAGGGTTTTCGACATGGTGACCCTGGGTTCTTGGACAATTGTATGTGTGCAATGTGGGAATCTCCAGGCGATATAGACGAGGGATGCTGGACAACGGAGTCTCCGCCTGAATTACAATCGAGCTATGCAGTCTCTCAGGGCCTAGGACTGTACGAGGGCATGGCAGAAAGCGCCAACCAGGTAGACTAACTATACTCGGTACGTGATGCGGCATCCCTGAGTCGGATGGCCATCGAAGCCGAGGTTACCAACTGAGCAACCCAAGACCTTTACCACACGGTAGTTTCAAGCCTCGTGAATGGACTTTGCACTAGTGAAACACCCTTCCGGAAGGAGTGGACGTCCCGGAAACCGTATGTGGCTGTAACTAATGGGCTGTCTAGTATTGGAGCCTCGGCTCAAATGTACCGGAGGCGTATTTTCCGGGGTCCGGTACCCCGCGTCAAAGTGCATTGGAACTAGCCAGATCCATCGACTCTTAGGGCTGCTTTTGTATGTGTACGAGGACCCACCATTACTAGCGTCTTGGTTGGCTGTACCGAGTACTTCACACATAGACACATGGGGGTAGTTGGAGGCATCAGGACAGGTAGGTATAGAACCATGGCGTCTGGGGTCAATACCTACACGAGCACCTAAGTACGAGTCGTCAACCTCACTTACTCCGGCTTGAGAAAGCCCACTCTTGACTCGTGCTGCGGGAGACGAGACCATCACCACGTGACTGCAAAAGCTGACTAGTAGTTGCACGAGCCGAAGACAATACGTGAGTATGGGCAGCACAGTGATATTGAATAGCAGGCACAATTCCTCACAGGGTAATCCATTTCTTATCCAGTAGATTAACGATTGTAAGTCATTACTCTCTGGGTCTGGACACCTATCACGCAGTTCGCAACATACCGTGACCCGACAGACAGTTTGAGTGACGGAGCTCTTTGGTGGTGTCTGGCTTTAGATATCTCCTGCTCATGCCCCGACATTCACCACTCGGTCTTCTCTTCCCGCTTTCAATTCGTTCCTGCCTATGATTCTCTTGGGAACATGGGAGGTGAGTAGCGTGTCCATATCACGCATGACGAGGGCAGCAATCGTCGAAACCAGACCAAATGCGAGCGCGGCATAATACACATAGGCATAAGCGGCTGACTCTCCGTCAAGGATGGCATTCATTACCGTGGTCAATATTGCTGGGCTGACTCCCGGAACCTGCTCCAGGGCACTTGGCGAGCCAGCGGCGATCGCGGAGAAGAGGTCAGGAAGAGAGCTTTGAGGGAGACCAGCTTGAAGTGCGGCGGGAACGACATGGCTCTCCAGCTCCCCAGGTAGCTTATCTAAAGGGTACAAAGTCAGTTGTGGCAGAAAAGGTGAACGAACGGTACATAGATAGTCTTACTATTCAGGATCGCCAACAGAATCGCTGTTCCGATGGCGCCAACTGCTGTGCGAGTACCGGCCAAGAAGGAGAAAGCTGACCCCAGCTCTCCGTCATTTGGGGCAAGCAATTGCACCAGGGCGGCAGTTTGTTGTTCGATCACTCCAATGGGAAGACCTGCGAGGAAAGAGCAGGCAATACCGAACCCTCGATTGTGCCTATTGCAGTTCGCAAGAGCACCAGTAAATGCGGTCATCCACGCGGATAACAACACAAGCTGCCACTTGACGCGTTTGATGACCCCCCATAATGGCCCCAAGAAGACCATTCCACCCCAGACCGAGATTCCGAGGGTGGTCGATAGCCACGCTGTCTCTTGCCATGATGTTGTCGGTGTTTTGTAAATAGTAGCAGCCTCTGTGGTTGGCATCGCAGTGTTAGCATGTCATTTCCACGTAATGGGCGAGTAGCTCCATCCGGAGGACGCGAAGCATCAGAATTGATCGACTTACGTGTTGGCCAGATGATGGATAGACCGATGTAAGCAATACCACCGACGCTCGAGCAGATGATGACCATGCTGTATCCTCGTATGTCTTTGAAGGAGCTCTGGGGCAGAAGGGGCTTCACCTGAGCCACATAAATTTCTCCAACCAGTCAGCCCATTTTGACCACCAAACCAAGATACTGCTCTGCTACTTACCATAGACGACAAACGCGATCAAAACCAGCCCACCAGAGATGATCAAACCAAGAACCGTTCCGGACTTCCATGGATACGTGTTACCGCCCATCTGGATACCAAGAATGAAAAGGACCAAGCCGGCCGTCACCAGGAAAGCACCACCGTAGTCGATCTTTCTCAGTTTCTGCCTGAGGGAAAGTTCGATTGCCAATTCTTTGGGGAAATAAAACACAAGGTAGAGGATGATCGCGACACCTGCACAACAAATCATTAACAACAGATGTTTCCCAAGACGTTTCGTAAAGAATGAGCCTCACCGAGGACAATGATATACACGTAATAGATCCACCGCCAGTTGAGATGTACGACGATCGAGTTACCTATCGTCTGCGTGTCAGCATGGTTTCAACAAAGCACGAGCAACAATGTATTCGAACTCACCGAAATACGCGCCTAGACCTTGAGCAGGAAGTGCAATCACAGTGACAAGGCCCATGCCGACAATTTTGTGTCGGTTAGGTAACAATTCTGTGGACTCAAAGTCAGTGTTCTTTCATAGCTCGCGCGGGAGCTGGTAGGGATCTTCTGTACCTGTCGCCACTACCATGAAAGTGAATTGGGCGCCAGCAGCTGTCCCGATGAGAGCCTTGTTGAAACATAGTGGTCAGTAGTCCACCAAGAAGTGAAGCTAGGCGCTCAAGTCTTGCTTACATTGGCTCCAGCAAGAGTATCAAGGGTATTTGCGGTACACGCAACGATTCCTGCGTCCAACAGTGAGCCACAATGAGGATGAAATTTGCGAAACATGGTGAGGAATCACCTCCGATCAAGCCGAACGTATTGAAAACGATCATGGTCCAGCGTCGGCCAAGGATATCTGATAAATATCCCACGAGGATATACCCAACGGCAGTGCCCATGGTCCAGACAATAGAGAAGAGACTCGCAGACGACTTTGAGGCATCTGTTTCCCCGTCAGCGTCAGGGTTTTCCGTTAATGATTTGACCTTCTTCATGACGACAACGCACTGGTCGCTTGGCCGATAGCGGTCAATACCGCAGCAGGAGCAACAAAGCCCCATGCACAGGAGAAGAGTGCCAGAGAAATGGCACAGAGTGATCCAAGCTGCAGTCCAGCCCTTTGTTAGCATGGTAAAAGTCAACTGTAGCGGTGAAATTGCGTGTAAGGAGTCGAGATACTCCAATATCTCATGGGGAAAGACGACAGAGGGTGTCCTACCGTGTACGGCTCCAAGAGATGCTTCCAGCCTACTTGTGCAACATGGTAGGTTGCCTCTGCCGCAATCTTCTCGACGATGATCTGCTCGGCAGTGGCAGAGTCCGCAGTCTCGATTCTGATTACATCGTCTCCAGTCTAGAAAGCCACGGGGAATGATCAGTATGCCATGCGTCAAGATAACATAGAATTGATCAAACCTGCCTTGTCTCCTCGATCCATGGCTGGCTGCGAAGTATTTCTACCTAGCGTCTGTAATATTGTTGTTCAGGGGGGGCAAACGCTGTAACGAGTGGGAGAAGGTCCCCCAGACGAGGGGACTCGAGCTGTCTATCCATATAGTACCCCCCGGGAGAGCCGTTCTCGGCTCGAGACCTCTTTAACCCTCCTCCTCCGGGGCCTCGACCCGAAGAAGATTCTCATAGGGACGTTTAGGTCTGTATTTTCCCGCTCGGAGGACTCGAAACTTCCGGAACAGAAAAGAAACGTGTGAAAGTATATTAGAGAACTAGTCTAGATCTCTCGTCTCTCAGGGTCTACTATTGTAGTCGCCAGTAGTAGCGCCACCTTGACTGCAAATTTACGACAGCTTGACAGGTGCTGGATTTCTGGGGTGGGTGGGGGATCATTTCCGGGGCCCCGTGCGATAATTGCCTGAATGGGCACTTCGAGAGTGGCTCGGGGGTTAGGCCAAGTCAAGGTGGTCACGGTAGAGATAGATGTCGTTGAACAAGCGGAGGAGGATTGAGTGCCGTCAAGGACGATAGTGTGGCTTTATCAGTAGATTCGATGCTCAAAGATAATGAATGCAGATAATTTATTTAGTTATGATATATGCGTCTTTCGCGCCCCATTTTATATATCTACAGTCAAACTCACAGAATACTTGCATGCTAGTCTTCAGTGCTTTCGCTTCGCGTAAATTGTCCTGCTCGAGATCCAGCGACGGCAGCTCGATTGAGCTTGACTCGATTTGTCGCACTGGCCGTGATGGCATCCTCCCCATTCTTCACGCCGTTGCTCAACCCGGCCTTTGCTCGTTGCGACATGAAACCATTGGGATCGTAAGGGTCGATCGGAATGTCCTGTCCCACAGTGTCGCCGAGCAAGATCTTGAGTGCCTCAACCACCTCGACGCCGTTGCGCACACTACCGTCCAGTTGCCGCCAGGCTACAAAGTTATCTGGGCGCACCAGAAGCGCCCCTCCCCTGCGGAGTTGAGACTCAGTCGGCCAACGGTCGTCTCGGTCGACATATGGGCATGGTCTGAGTCCCGAGGCCAGTGGGCCAATCTGAGCAATACTGACCTTGACCCTCAACTCCCCGACGACTCCCTGAACGGCCTCGATCCAGGCAGACCCATATTGGTCAGTGATGAGCAGGTAGTCGTCCGTTCTCTTTATCAAATCATGCGTTGACAGAACGCGCTGGGCACGGTCATCCCGCTCCTCTAGCCAGACGTGAGGGAGTCGATGGCCAGGCCTACTTGTCTGGATATATGTTTGGCCGAGAGGGTCAACTGGAGGTCTCTCGGTGTTGTCTGAGACCAATACGCCACCTCGCCAATAGCTGAATCCCAGTTCGAGGTCCAGCGCAGAGTACTCAACCATTTGACTCTTGATCAGATATCTGAGCTGAGCACGGAACGTTTCTCCAATGTCAGACTCTTCGAGCAAAGCTTCCATGCGCGCGCGATTGACTTCTGTTTGTCCAGGAATGAAGCCAACGGCTGCGGCAACCATCGCTTGGTTTGAAAATGTCATCAACCTGATTTCCACAACAAGAATTAGCTTCCGTTCGTTTGCCAGCCATCCCAGTAAAGCAGACAAGATGAGGATAGTGCAAGGAAAAAACTTACCCCCAATCGCAATTACGCTTGCCAACGAGACGTCTTTCTTGCTCATAGGTGTCCAGCAGCTTAGGTGATGCTGTTCCTTTGATGACTTGCGCAAGCTTCCAGGAGAGATTGAATGCATCTTCGATAGATGTGTTGAGGCCCAGCCCGGTAGTCGGTGGTCCTAAGCCAGTGTCATCTGAATGGGTCGAGAGAGAAAACAATGATCAGACTCACGTCGATGTGCTGCGTCGCCAGCAATAAATATCCTCCCTTCTCTGTATTTGTTGGCCAAAACACGCTCCAGCACCCAGTGGCTAACAGCGCATATCTTGATTTCTAGGTCGGGTATCTTGAGCAGCTCTCGGATTCTCGGTACGAGCAGATGTTCCTGTGCCTCTGAAAATCGCGCTGGGTCATCAACCCGGAAGCCGAAATGAACTGTCCAGTTCTCGGAGTAGCGGCCGAACGTGGGACCCATGCACACGACCGTTCCACTTCCAAGAATCGTCTCGCCTTCGGGGTTGATGAAGTTTGCAATCAAGGTTCGCTCGTCCCAGTACTGAGACAGGTCCGCCTCGAAATGGACTGAAACGACGTCGGCGATATCTGTCGGCCCTTCGAGAACAGCGCCAATCTTGGGGGCAATAATACCCCTGCCGCCTTCTGCAGCGGCCACATATTGCGCGCGATAGGTGATCTGTGGGCCCTCCGGAGGCTGAACAATCACCAACACATGGTCATCGTGCGGGATAACATCGACGACCCTATGGGAGAACCTGATATTGCCAGGATTCCTCTCCTCTGCGATTTCCCTCCAGATAGGCTCTGAATGCACCAGAGGCAGGTTCGCAGGTCTTTCAGGAGCAACCCGCCTATCCAAAGTTAGCAGGATTGTACGGCAATGTAAGACGCATCCGTATATCGCACATGTACTTGTGGAGTAAATCAGAGCCCTCGTCACCGCCAAACGACGGACTGGCATACAAGAGCTTCCGATCATAAGGGCCCATTCCCCCCAGGGAAGTCGAAAAGGTGACCTGGCTGATGTATCGGCTGGGGGCGCTCTCGTCTCTAATCCGGTGTGCGTAGCCGTGAACGCGAAAGATTTCCAGGCTCCTCTGGTTGAGGTAGTGTGCCTTTGGCAAAATCGAGGTGCCGCTGTGCTTTTCGAACAAGATGTGCGGTATCTCCCTGGCGGAAAGGAAGATGGAGAGGTTCAAACCGCACCCTACGTGTGTGTTCAGCAACGAGTATCTGATATTAGAAGCATTGAGCCAAAACAACTCACCGCCACCGCCAATGATGACCACAGGTACATCTATAGGTTCCTGACTCTCTGAGGCCATGCTGTCACTATTTTCTAGTGGTTGTTCGACGTGTGCTACTCTAACAGGTAATAGAGGTTGAAAGACGGATGCTGATTTTATTGTTTTCCTTTACAGCTCAAATTATTGCATGATTTGGGCATGCTATTCATGCTGAGGTTTAATCGCTGGCGTACAAGTCATTCCACGAGTTCTTCAGGGGGGTCTTCCGGATCGCGGAGGCACTGTCCGGCTCAGAGGCTTTGGCCGGACAACCCTCGTGGGCGCGGAGGGCTTCTTCCGACTTCACATTTTTGCACATCGAGTTCTCAATCGGGCCAGAGCCGTAAGGGATCGGAAGAGACTTAAGGGGTGGGGCGAAAAAGACGGAGGGAGTTGAAACGCCCGGACAGTGGAGCGTCTCGACTGAATAGTCGTTGGCACGAGAGTAGAGCGGCGGGAGACTAGTGTGCACTAAAGTTATGGACGACAGTGCGGGGGATTATGTAATATACATACGCCGAGTACTAGGTGAGTCTGTATATCAGTATTCCCCGGTCAATACCATGCCAACACGTGACCACGAGCATGCCCGTTGCTAGCCTTTTGTTATGGCCATTATATAGATAACCTCAAGGCACTGAGATCGATCGATCAACCTTTTCACTGTAAACGCACCGAACTTCTAATGATGTCGAAGACTCCACCCGCCATCGACCGGCAACTCTATCCCGGTGATTGCACTGGACGCCTCGCCTAGCAAAAACACCACCGCCCGCGCGACCTCGTCTGGCGTTATCTCCCGGCCCAGGGGACCGAGTGGCAGAGACCGTCGTGGGGCGTTACCATCCGGCGTCTTTTCAGGCAGCGTCTGAGGGGCAGAAGGGCCGGGACAGACGCAATTGATGCGGATGCCGTCGGAGAGATGGTCCAGCGCGGTGGCCCTGCTCATCCCGACGACGCCGTGGGCGGCGGCACTGTAACTGGGAAAGCCTGGGTCGCTGGCCAGGCCGTGGGCAGCCGAGACGTTGACGATGCTGGCCGCGCTGGATTGTCGGTTGGCCTTTTGAGCCAAGAATTGACGCACCTCTGCTCGCATGGCCAGCCAGACCTGTCATGACCAAAACACATAGGTGTAAAACGTCAGATCATCTCTGTTTGGTGATTGACGGACTTGAGAGTTAGAGGAGGTGGGTACACGTACACCTCGCTGCCAGCGCTCCCCGGCCGTGGTGAAAGTTGCCCAGGGAGCCTCGGTCGTCTCGCCGTAGAACCCATCCGGCCTTTCGCAGTTGGCACAGTAATCGATCTGGCCGAACCTGGCGACCGCAGCGGCGATCAACTCGTCCACGTCACGGGGTTCTCTCGAGTCGCACTTTCTGCTGAGTATCTGAAGGTCCGCGTGCCCCTGGGTCAGGGCATGGCACTCCTTGACCACCTCTGCGAGACGACCCTCGTCTAAACCACCGAGGACGAGCTTCGTGCAGCCGCTTTGGACGAGTAAGTGAGCCACGGCCCTCCCATCTCCTACCACCGGTCAACCACGATGAGCCAGTGTATTGCTAAGCTTTTTATGTAACAGAGAAGGGCTTATTAGATAGATAGAGCCTTACCTGACCCAGCCCAAATAACGACCGCGACACCCGGAAACGAAGACGACATGGTGGAGAAGAGACGAGGAAGAGCGATGGGAGACGGCGATCTCATTCAAATACCAACCTTACAATGGCGGTGTCTCATTCTGACATTTTTTTGGTCGGGTTAATTATTGTTCATTCCCACTCGGCAACCCATGCATCTGGCTGCATCTATAAGATCATGAACTCTCGGTGTTGTCCCACTGTTCTCGGCTGGCGTGCGGAGTCGAGTCAAGTCGGTGGATCTACGGCCTCGGTGCCGCTACCATGGCATAATGCTCATTGGTGGCAGGCCTAATACCTTACATATCTTTTGTTGTCTGGTTATTGATGAGGCCGCTGTTGTAAGGGCTATGCATAACAAGAGAAATCTGCCCAAATCAATATTTTGAAGACGCGTTGAGGTACCGCGGTATTGAAGCATACAGGTATCAAGGTATCCACGGTATTCACGTATCCATCCCAGACGAGAAACAAAGCGGAAAGGGGGAACAGAAACATGTCCCTCGCCCTACCAGGAGTCTGCCTGATCACTGGAGCATCCTCAGGTACATACATCTTTCCTTTCGCTTCGCTTGCCTGCCCCTTCTTTTTCAAAGCGACATCCCCTCTCCCCGTACTCCAATAGAAATCCCCACGAACTGCGCCTGATACGCTTGACGTCCTCCAGGCATTGGCAGAGGAACAGCCGTGACGATCGCCCGCGCGGGATGCCCGTCCCTGTTTCTCGCGGACATTGACCTGGCCGGGCTCGAGGAGACGAGGAGGCAGATCCAGGAGGAGCAGCAGGGCAGCGCGGCTGCGATGGTGAGGGTGGAGATCCAGCGCACCGACATCGCCGACGAGGCCTCGGTGAGGGACATGGTCGCGTCGTGCGTGGCGGCGTTCGGACGGGTCGACTACGCGCTGAACATTGCCGGGGTGGTGCCGCAGAGGAAGAAGATCGTGGATCTCGACGTCGAGACGTACGACAGGACGATCCGGGTCAATGAATACGGGGTGAGTTTCTCCCCAAGAGGGAAAATCTTCTATCTCTCCCTCCCAAGTCTCATCTACATATGTAGATCTAACTCTTCCTCGCCGCTAAAAAGACCTGGCTATGCCACCAAGCCGAGATCCGGCAAATGATCCAACAAGACCCGCGACCGGGCCACACGGGCAGGGGGAGCATCGTGTCCGTGTCGTCGCTGGCGGGCCTCAACGCCTCGAGCGGCATGTCGGCGTACTGCGCGTCGAAACACAGCATCGTCGGGTTCGCCAAGGCGGACGCGCAGGACTACGGCCCCTGCGGGGTGCGCATCAACGTCGTGTGCCCCGGCATGATCGACACAGAGCTGTTTCGGCAGACGAGCCCGGCCGACGCGCCGGCGCAGTTGGCCGCCATCACGCCCGTGCGGCGGCTGGGCACACCCGAGGACGTCGCGTGGCTGCTCATGTTCCTGTGCAGTGATATGGCCGGGTTCGTGCACGGCGCCGTCATCCCCTGTGATGGCGGGCTCGTGCTGCAGAGGGGGGTCATCTAGGTAATCTAGGCCGACGGTCCCGTCCATGAATCGAGGTCAGGAGGACATGCGGTAGGATTGACACTACGTGACTCTACGCTACTCAGCGAGGGGGAGTGGTGGGAGGGTCGTTGTTCATAATATGACCTCCAGATACTCGGTATACATATATGCAGGTTAGGATCCTGACAGTGCTGAAAAGGGGTCAAACAACAACTCTTCGTGCAACCAAGTGTCAAACTTTTCATATTCTGGAAGCCTTTTACATTTGTTCGCCTTAGGTCCTGCTTCAAGGGTTCCACGAAAGTGACATGGGCTGGCACGGTTGGCGTTTCTCCCTTGGTCCATTCATGCATGTGGATGGTTATACTCACATGGGCCTCTCTATGAAGTATCAGGAACGAAAACCCTGGTGATCCTTTTCTTGTCTCTCAGTCCAGGACGCTATGCTTGTAATTGCCCTCGTCATCCAACAACTTTTGGGACTCTTCCCATTCCGCCCGTGCAATCCTTACACACCTGTCGCTGCGAGGGGTCAAGAGACACCTAAGAAAGACCGGCAGATCAGAAACCTCGGTCGGTCGATTAGGTGGAAAAACACACGTCAAAAGTCAAAAAGTAAAACAGGGCTTCACTCACGGGAACGGCAATGGACGAGCGGCGATGGACTGGGTCACCTCGTCTCGGTCGACTTGGATTTCTCGGCCCTGATCATCCCTGGCCTTGGAGATGTTGAATGTCCACAGTAAGCGAGCGGTGGCCAGGAACAGCGTCTTCTCTGCAACATGGATCCCGGGACAGATTCGTCTCCCGGCGCCAAAGGTCCAGTTGTCCCGGTCTCTATAGTCGGATGCGGACGAGGCCTCGTGGAAAGTGAGGTCGGCGTTGTGTCGGGTGGGGTCAAACTCTCGAGGATTTGGGAAAAGGTCAGGGTCGTTGTTGGCAGACCACACTGCCAACACAATGGTGCAGCCGGCTGGGATTTTATATCCGTCCACTTCATCGTCTGTGAGGGCGGCGTGCGGAATCGCGCCACTGATGGCAGTAGGAAGCCCTAGATAGAGTGATCCATAGTGAGCCGTACACAGAAATATACTCAATGAAGCCAGGAGACAACTCAGCCATACATCTCAATGCTTCTTTGGTGACTTGGCGAATATAAGGAAGCGATTCGAAATCGTCCATGGTTGGCAGCCTGTCCGGGCCAACGACGGTATCCAACTCCTTCTGAGCAGTTTCCTGGACAGAGGGAAATAGCATCATGGCCTTGGACCTTTTTGTCAGCCGATACTCGCAAACACGACTCCGCAGGATGAAACATTGTTCGTTTTACCTTGATCATGCCGGCGAGAGTGTTACTTGTCGTGTCTGCTGCTCCTTCCATTGCAATCCCTGCAATGTAAGAGGCCGCATGGTCCGTGAGAAGAGCTCCGTTCTCGGTGCCTTTCCAGGACTCTTTCGCCTTGCTGATGTCGGTCGAAAAGCCTGCAGAACCAACCAGAGGGCCGCTTCAGTCAGTAAACTTACTTGACGACACGGCTGAATCCTGCGTATGATTCCAGCACTCACTGGGAAGGGAGTTGTCGCCCTCGGCGGCGCGCTTTGCCGCCTCATACAACTGGCGGAATTGGGCCCTTTCTCGATAAAAGACGTGCTTGGCCTTTCTCGCCATCGGGTACAACCACGACGGCATGGCGCTGACCAAGGGCCTCAGCTGCGGATACCAGTCCAAGAGCTTACTTTGGTTCACCATGACGAAGAAGCCGTGGGTGTTGGTGAACAGCTCCTGCATGACCTCGCTCTTGGGATCGAGGACGCGGAACCCGTATGCCATGCTCGTCGCCATGCTCAACGTTGTCCGCGTGATGAGATTCTCAAAGTCGTCAGGGTCTGACAAGAGGTCTACCAGCATCTGTTTGGTCTCCAGATCCTGATACGGCACATAACGCGCCGCCTTGTTGATGTTCAGAAATTGATGGTAGAGCTTACGCTCGACTTTCCACAAAGAATCGTAGCCTCGCATGATGATCCTGGAGCCTTCCCAGATATCTTGCATGTAGAGCTTGGGCCGATCCGAGTAGTTGCCACTCCGTTTGTCGACGACCCTCTTGATGAGTTCACCACTGGTCAGAACGACAACGTTCTGGGAGCCCAGCTTCAGTGAGAAAATCGGCCCGTCTGTTGGTGCAGGAGAGAATAAGTGAATGAGAAATAGGCCCATCTCCTGCCCCTGGCTGTGGTCGACTCACACTCTTGACCCCATCGCTGATACTGCAAATGTAGGTCTCTTTTGGGGATTTGGTGCAGATTTCCAATAAACAGTCTCGTCGGCGGACCTCGAGAGCATCGTGAGCGGCAGTCCTCAAACCCGAATTGCCCGTCGCATCAGGCGAGCCACGCCATTGATAACATCTCACTTACCAGGCGGCGCACCCTTCCATCGAGACGTCAACGAGGCCAGTTTCAGCAGACATGCCGCTAGGATCACCAGCGGCGGCAAAAAGAGCAGAAGTGACTGCTGCGAGACGGCTGAGATCATGGTTAACGCTCAGTGCAGCTTGTGTGAGAAGGAGAAGTATACGAGTCGGGCAATTTCGAATGGCCACGATGATATTCAGCAGAAACGCGCTCGTCAGCCCATGTCATCCGCAAACCCCAGCACGGGAGCAGCTGGTCCTCTCATGAAGCTCGGCTTCGGGCCATCCATGATCTGCCTTGCCTTATGGCAATCATTCCTCTGCAAAGCGCCGAGTGGCTCGGCGTGAGATGCGACGACATCCTCCGTAATATTCAATATGACTGGCTCAGGATCCATGCCTCGGCGCCCCAACGCCAGCAATGAGCGCCGAACTATCACAAAAGACCGAATACAACAAGAACATGGTATCTTGTGCACGGTACGACGTTCTAATAGTCTTGTTGTGCTATGTACATTTCCTTCTCTCTAATAGTATCATTATCTGTAAAGGTTGCCGCTCATCGCGCGCAGCTCTTACACCTTCTCTCGCTTCTCAAACTCGACCACCGCCGGCGCCATCGGCCTCGAAAACAAACTCGAGTAATCCGTGGGCACCAACGGCTTGCCCTCAATCTGTCGGAATTTAACCAGTCTCACCATCGTCGCGAGCACCGCGCCAAGCTGTACATAGGCGAATTGCTCGCCAATACACCTATGTCGGCCTGCGCCGAACGGGAGATAAGGGGAAGAAGCCCCCTTGCTGATCATGCCGTAGCCGTAGTCTTCGAATTCTTCCTTTTCTTGGCCCATCCGCGTGTACGCAAGAGGATGGCCTTCATCCCAGCGATGTGGTTCCCATTTCATGGGGTCAGGGAAGAATTCGGATTCTCGCGAGGTCACGCCTGGCGCGGATAAGAGTGTGTGGCTGGTCGGTATCTGATATGTTTTTGTCGAGGTCGGCGTATTGGCCACGATGGCCATGGGTGACTTGACCTTGCGAAGAATGCTGTGGATCGGAGCGTGTAATCTCAGTGTCTCCTTCACCACCTTGGCATTCAGGCTGAGTTTCTGAAGACTCTCATATGTCAAGGGGGGGAGGTCATTTCCGAGCACACGCTTCTGCTCCTCCAATAATTCCTCCTGGATATCGGGTCTTGTCGCCAGTCTCAACAGAATCCAACTCGAGGTCGACGACGAAGAGTGCTGGCCCGCCATCAAGAGCGCGATCATCATATGTGCCACCTCTCGATCCGGAACTGGCGTGCCGTCCTTGTACACGCAGCCCATCAGATTCCAAATCATGTCTTCGTCTCCCTTTTCCCGCTTGCCGCCCGCAGCACGTCGCTGTTTGATAATTTCCATGTATGTGTCCGTCATTTTTTTCTGTGCAATATCTCGCTTGCGGTTGTGTGGGAGAGGAGCCCACGACAGCATAAAGTTGATGGGCGAGAACCCCATATCTAGATCATGATACAAGTCGGCAAAGGTCGAGTCGAACTTGGCCCGCACTTCAGGGCCCTGGAGAGATCGGGATGCCGTGTAAATGGTCAATTCGGCCATGGCGGGGATAATGTCGATTGTCCCAGAATGAGACCGGAAGGGTCTACCTTTCTCCACAAAGGCCTTGGTTTCACTCGAGATCAGGTCCACGTAGGACTGAAAGGCCTCCATAGTGAGCCCGAATTTCACAAACTTCTTCTGCTCCATCAGTTTGGAGTTGGGGCAGTCGTACACGACACCTTCCCCAAACACCGGTGTGGTCAGTCCTGTGTAGATTTCTTCGGCATTCACATCCTTCAATTTGCCATTCAAAATGAACTCGTTGCCCTTGGTGCCCAAACAGACGGTGACTCGTCGACCAAGCAGGATAAAGGTAAAGACGTCGCCGTATTTCGCTTTGCATGTGAAAAAGAAGTCGAAGGGATCCATGCCGTACCATATCCTAAAGTTCAACCGACAGTCAGTCAATCAGCCAGCCAGCCAGCGGTGTATTCCCTTTCTGGATTAAACGTACGTATTTCCCAGCACAGGAAACCAACTCCAAACCTCCGGCGGTGCGTTTTTATCTTTGAACAACAGTTGTCTTGTAACATTCCATGTCACAGAGATCACGAGGAAAGCGACGAAGCCGAGAAGAACGAGTTGCCAGGTCGGGAGGGAACCAAGGAGGCGCTCGGCCGATTGTGACAGCGTCGCAAGCACACCCATTGCTATTCCCAATTGCGCCGAGCGTGAGGACCTTGAGGCGAGGAACCGAGGGTGTTGAGGGTGTCGGAGACGGAGGGCAGAACGACAGAGTGAGGAAACGAATGTGATTGTCGTGACTTGAGGACGAGAGTGTTGGGGATGGTTGGCAGCGCAGCCGAGTATTTGACCAGTGGCCACCAGAAAATTAATTTGGTCCGAACTTGTACAAAGGAGATGATGCCAGGTACGTGATCATCGTGATTGGTGGAAGCATCCACCCTGGCCACCCTGGATCAATCAACCCGAATCGAGCCACTTACTCGTAGCAGCGGCTTGGGCGGGTGGCACCACTGCACCTTGTTTCTCCCCTCACGGCTCAGCCTTGTCACCCCATCCACAGCCTTGCCAGGGCTGCCAGTGGGTGGCCAGGTACCAATCATCCATACTGTCACGAGATCTGTTTGGTCCAGCTATCTAGATACAAGTACAATGCTTGTAGCCCGTGAAGCCCTCTATGCGTCTTTGTATCATCTACTACTAATACAGCCGCCCTCTGCGAGAGAATCTCCTACAGCTTCCCACCAACAACCCCTTTCAAATACCCATTGCTCTTCAGCCACTCCTGCACATCTTGCCCGTCCCGAGCTAACCAGTTCGCCTTGGCACGGATACTGTCCATGCTCTGTTGCAAGCTGCGGTCAAATCCCTTCTTGTCTTTGCCTTCAAAGAATTCTTGAACTTTCTTCAGCTGTGCATCGGAGGTAAAGCCTGCCGTACAGATGCTCACCACACTGCTCAACATGGTCATGCTGGGAGGTAGCTTCTCCACGAGTTCATCCCAATTGGTACACATCCACTCCCACCTTCTCTCGATGCCTTCCGAAGTAGTTCCCAGGCCGCCAATGGGCATGTAGATGTCTTGCATCTTGACTTGCCCGCTTAACGCAAAGTCAAGTGTTTTCTTGATCAGTTGAGGGTCCTTAGCACGCCCAAGAGTGCGCAAGCAAGTATTCTTCTCGTCCGAGGTTGGCGCAGAGTGGTACCTCGCCACCAGTGCATCCCATTCTTTCTCTCCACCGTCTCTCAGCGCCATTGCAAATACCGATGACCGGAGGTTGGGGTGGATCGCAGAATAGTCTCCTTGCATGAACTTCCCAAACATCTCCTTTGCTGCGGCCTGAATCTTCGCGTCGCCTGCCAGACCTGCGGACCCAAACATCAGGCTCTTGAACTGACTCAGGATGTGGTCTTCATTCTCAGCAAACTCCCATCCCAGCTCGTGGGCCTTTGCCGATGTCAGGTTTAGCTGGAACGCCTTGAGTGCGTCCTTGATCGACTCATCCTCAAAGATCCACGTATTCCTCACGGCGTTGATCCGACTCAGAATCTCGTTCCAAACCACAAACTGGGTCTCGGTATTGAACGACTGCAAGAGGCTCAGAATGCCAGAGGTCTTGCCGTATCCACTAGCGGCGAGGGCACCGGCATCAGCGATCATACCCGCTCGATCTTCGACCGAAAGAAGCCCCTTCTTCGCTGCTTCACCAAGCTTGGTCAGTCTCTGTGGCGTGTAACTGGTCCTGTAGAGGGCCGAGTGGTCTGCATTCAACTTGTAGAATTCCAGCCCGCCCTTGATGGGGAACGTCTGTTCCCTCTCCGTGAGCATTACACTTTCATCCACCCCATCTTTTGTCTTCAATCCGAGAATTACCGGGTAGAGAACCTTGTCCTCTTCGGGCTTGACGTCACCTGTGCGCAAGAATCTGTTTTGTTTGACTGTGATGGTTGAGTCCTTCTCATTTTCCGTCACCGTGATGACTGGATACCCAATGTTCTTCGTCCAAATGTCCATCACATGGGCCACATCCTTGCCACTCGCCTCACCCAAAGCGTTCCAGAGATCGCTGGTTTGTGTGTTTCCCCAGGCATGTTTCTTGATATACCTCCTTACCCCGTCGATAAAGGTGTCTTCGCCGAGATACTTCGAAATCATTCTGAGGACTGCGGACCCCTTGGAATAGGAGATGGCGTCGAAGATCTGATTGATATCCTCGGCACGATGCACAGGTACCTCGATCGGATGCGAACTTCGGAGACCATCCAACCCCAATGCTGATTGCAAGGTGTCGATCACGAAGGTCTCCCACACCCGCCATTCAGGGTAGAACTCGTTACAGCTATACCAGCTCATCCAGGTCGCAAACCCCTCATTGAGCCACAGACCGTCCCAGAAGTCCATTGTCACCAGATTTCCGAACCACTGGTGCGCCAGCTCATGCTGCACAACTTCTGCCACTCTCTCCTTGGTCGCAGCACCCGCCGACTTCTCGTCAAAGAGGAGATCCACCACGCGGTAAGTGACCAAACCCCAGTTCTCCATTGCACCAGCGGCAAAGTCTGGGATTGCCACCATGTCCATCTTGGGCAGTGGGTAGGGAGCTTGAAAAGCCTTCTCATAGAATGCTAGAGTTTTGGCAGCAACGTCGAGTGCAAATCTTCCATCTTCCTCGTTCTGCTCCGGGGTCATCCACACTTTGATGGGCAATCTGAACTTGTCGGTAGAGATCGATTTCAATTCCCCAACAATGAATGCCAACAGATAAGTCGACATTTTAGGAGATCGGTTGAATTTGACAGCCTTCCTCTTCCCAGCTATGATGTCCGAGTGCACAGTTTCGGTCGATGCAACATCCATATTGGATAGACATGTCATGCCCTCGTCGGCAATCAAGGTGACGGTAAACTCTGCCTTCAATGCAGGCTCATCGAAGCAAGGCATTGCCCTTCTGGCGTCAGTGGCCTCAAACTGAGTGACAGCCAAATATTGCCCGTCCCTCCTCTTGGACCTGTAGAATCCAGCCATCTTGTCATTCAATTGACCCGTGTATGTATGTTTCAACTGCACTTTCTGGCCCTTGGATAGCGTCTTTCCTTCACCAAGCTCAATGGTTGTGGTCTGTGTGTCCGCATCGTAGGATAGTTTCGGTGAGGATGTGACCAGGGCACCATCTGCGTGGACGGTCGTGGAATGGATCTCAAGCTCCACAGTATTCAAGGAAATAGAGGTGCTGTCCTTTGCGACGTCGAGGTCGATGACAACAGTGCCCTCGAAGGTGAACTTGGCAAAGTCGACCTCGAGGGTCACGTCATAGTGTTTTGGAACGACATTTGTAGGTAGCACGACGCGGCCTTGGGTTGTTGCAGCACCAGGCGAGTCGGACATGAAGCGGCACATGGTGGAGGTCGGAGACGCTGGTCGGGAAGACGTTGCTATCGCAGAGCTCCGGAAGGGCAAAGGCTCCAGAGAACGATATTTTGAAGCCCCGAGCCGCGAGGACGACAGAGAAAAGGGTCTTGCTTGTAACGTCGAAGGTCGCACAGAAAGTTGCTGGTGGCCTGGACGGATGTCTATGTGGTTCTTGACGTAGGTACAGAATGAAGATTGGGTTTGGAAGGATCGTCGGAGGTTCTGGGTTTGCAGTCGCTGTGGTAGGATCCGGTGTTTAGCAGCAAGCCTGGAAAGAGACCGTGTGTAGAATGGCTGCATCTACTTGTAATTAACCGCCTGACTTTCTCAGCAGAGAAAAGGTCAGCCCCCTCTAGAATCACAAAGTCAAAGGAATGGGGGGAAAGAACCTGGATGGAGGGATTCGCGAGTGAGGCCTAGAGGCAGAAGGTCTCGTGCACCAGCTAAAGGTGCCAGCCAGCCAGCCAGCCAGCTAGGGCATCCAGTCACCTTCCTACTTCGGCTGGGTGCCTGGCTACTAGCGAGTGGTACCCAACGGGGCAGGTGCGGCGACTTCAACTCTTCCTGCGCTGCTTCGATCTTTTTTCTTTCTCCAACAAACCCTTCGCTGTCTATGAATCTTCTCTCCAGCACACCCTGCATTCCTCTCGCAGCCAGTTCGATCCGTGCACACATATCCTCTGTCTCGTACTCAGGCCCTGCTGACCACAGAATCCATCTAACCCCTGCTGCACAAATGTGGCAGGCCTGGTCCTCAAACATGGTCTCTCACATCCAGACTAAGCCAACTCGATTTACCAAGGCTGTCACTCCGTGTTCTGACACAAACTAGCCCCCAGCCTCGTTCGCCTCGATCACTTTCCATCCTTGGATCGACAGACAACTCACAGTCAATGGTCCGATGATGCATCCTTTTCCTTTCGTTACCCAGGCAAGAACCGGCATCAAAATGCTGACGTCTCCGTGCATTCTTGATTTGTTTTGTTCTTCATTCTTGCCAGAATGAAAACCCCCAGCAAGTTTGAGGAAGTCACTTATCTAAGTGGGTGATTCTCCATAGATGTCTGGCACATTGTTGGGAACTGGGACTGAAACTGTCATTTGAAGAGGGGAAAACCACGAATGTCTCTTTCTCTATACTGAGATTTAGCTTCAATCTCCTGGCCATAAAAGAGCGCCGCCACCATCGTATAGACAACCTGTCTCATAGCCCCTTTCAGTATAGACTCCCTTTCACCGTCGAGAGTATAGCACAGCAAGTACCCGGTAGAGACACACGACAAGATCGCCCAAGCCCGCACAGAAGACCAATTCCGGTTCCCTAGCACCACAACCATATAACCCCATCGAAATTCTTGGAACCATAGCGCCAGCCTCCATCGCATTTTCTTCAAAGTTCAAGTCGTCCGTGATCTGCATGTCGTGAGCGGGTATCTTGTTCCATTCCGTTGTCCAAAATTCTCCTTGGACGGATCAAAGCTCGACCGCCTCCAGCCCCATGCACATAAGCCCGGTGAGCTTGCTCAATTTCATCCGAGTTCGATTGAAGAAAAATATAAACGCCAATAATATGCCAGGATCGTGATGCCGAACGCTGTTCAAGAATGATTGCCACCGTCGCCTCAGCCCAAGCACAATGCACAACCAGAAAAGGAAAATGCAGACAGATAAAAACACGTAGGATAATTACAAGCCAAGAGAGCCTACCCGCACACGTTGAAAGTGTCGTGGATCCCTCACTCCCGGCTGAGAAGTTTGAACAGATGCCCGGGTATACGCCAAGTCATGGTCACTGGACAACGCACCTCAAAGCCGCGTTGCTCAATTCAGCGTAGACAAAGTGCTCGGAAGACGTAGTCGTGATTTCGTGAATCTCGATCAGGTTATGATCGTGGAGGAGTCGCTGCAACACCTGTAGCAGGGTGGCTGCCGCGGTGTGGAATGGGAGGAGATGCTCTGGTTGGGGACGCAACAGCCGGCGCCGATGCACGCTTCTGGATGACTTGAAGCTTTCTCCGGATGACGGTTAAACGTTGACGAATGCTCGCCACCACTGTAGAAGGCGTCATTAGCCAGGGAGTTTTCGGACGCATTCAAACACAACTTACAGTTCTTCACAGTTCTCCTATCTTCAGCTTCTAGTCCGTTGATCGGAGCCAGATCCTCTTTTTCATCTTGGTCACTGGTACCACTGCCGTTCCTGGATACGTTGTCGTCATCGTTCTCCAGGACAGCTTCCAACATCCGGATTGCCGTCACATACGAGATCTCGCAGCCGGCCAAGTCTTCATTGGTCAATTCATTTATCGCAGCCGCGCGACTCATTTCCAAGGCTCGGTCATACATGAGCTTTTCAGCGGTAATGCCAGAGCTAACAACCACTTGGTCCGCTGATGTCCCTAAGCCGGCGCTTGACGCAGTCGTAGAAGAAATATTGTTCGGATGACTGGGATGATCCTCGGGGAGCCGTCGCTGGCTATCGATGAGTTTCAGCCGAACCAAGTCTGCCTTTTCGAGAACTTCGTTGAAGCGATTCCGAATCCATTGCACGACATTGTTCATCCTTTGACCCGTGGCAGCCGAGTTTGCGCTGGACCGATACGTGCCGTTATCACCGGTAGCCTCAGTGCGATTCTTACGCGCCCACCATCGCGCTGCAATGTCCATGCCCTTGGCGAGCAGAGCCAACGCTTTGACGTAGAGAACCAAGGCCTCTTCTGCCACAACCACGACTGCTTCGATGGTGAGGTCTTCATTGGAGGCTCCAAATGGGATACCGGTGACATTGTCGCTGGAGGTGTTGCGCAACCCAAGTCCTGGATGTGATGGGCCGGCAGGAATCAATTGTTTATACTTGACCTCAGCGAATCCATATACAACATCGCTTCTGGTTGCAATTTCCTCGACATTTTGAACGAATTTCGTGTCTTCATCTGCGGCTGGTGTTCCCTTAGAATCCCCAATCATGACCAAGCTGCTTTGGGCTCCAGGATATGTAGGGAATGGGCTATAGGTGATTGGAGGAGATTTGCCGCCACGAATCAGGTTTACTGGTGGAGAGAATCCAACTCCAAATAGTCGACCGCTTGCCATGTTGAGAGCCTTTGAAATAGCCGAAGTTGCTGAGCTGGGACTGGGACCGTACCGGCGTTCGTAGGAGTTTTGCCGTTGATGAATCGACTCGGGTCTTCTCCCTGAAGCGATCTGGACAGCTCGAGAAGCGCTCGTCTGGGCGCCCGTTGCTGAGCCCGGCGCACCCTGTGTCGTGGCTCGGCGGACCATGGCTCCTGATTTCGGGGACATGGCAGCCTGGAGGGAATTCCTGTTCAAACGCGGACTGGCTTCGAGCTCGTCAGCCAATGCGTTGACCTCCACCGCCTTCTTCTCCACCAGTACATAGTCTCGCTCGAAGGCAATATCCTGTGCAACCCGCTCCCTCTCCTTCTCCTTCTCTTCCTGCTCCTTCCGCAGGCTGGCTTCCTGGCTTTCGTCGTAGACTTGGCCACGCAAGGAGGAAGGGGGTAATTTATGCGAGCCTGTGCTGGTCTGACGGGCCATCGGAATCGAGGATGGACGCAGTACAAGTTCCTGCCTGGCGGGTGCGGTAGCATGAGGATGAAGAGTTGGACGGGCATCAGATGGACTTGTGGGCGAGGCCAATGTGGCCTGAAGTTCTTCGTTTGTAATTCTTTGCGTGATAATTTGATCCTTTGTGCCAGACAATCGCCCACTGTGTCGTCGTGGTGTGTTCTCTTCCGAAGCGGTCTTGGAAGAATCATTATAGGGACTTTCTGGTTCTCTGCGGGATGCCGGACGGACTAGCCCTACAGGATCAGTTCGACTGTTCCGCCGACGGTCGTGTTGGGGTTGAATGGGCTCTTTGGGAACATCCTCTGGGTGCAGGCCAGGAATAGGACCCGCCACGATCTCGTTGCTGAAGAAATCGGGGAATGAAAGTCTCTCCTCGGGATCCCTCTTAAGGAGTGACCGGATGAGCTTCTTCATTTCCTCGGTGATTATGTATTCGTCCCCGAACCTGATCTTGTCCTCGCTCTTCTCGATCTTTCGAAGCAGCTCGACATGATTTGAAGCTCGGAACGGAGGGCGGGCCGTCATCATCTCGAAAAGCACGGTTCCCACGGACCATAGGTCAGCCTTTGCTCCGTATTTCTCGTACCGCAAGATCTCTGGAGCCATATAGAGTGGTGAACCACATAGGGTCTCGGCCAGGGCTGTTGAAGGCAGTGACCGAGCAAATCCGAAATCTGCAATCTTGAGCATAGGCAAAGATTTAATGCCGGTCACTGGATTCAACGAGTCGTCACCGACTTTATAAGGCATAGGATGTGGCTTGTGCTTTTCAAAGTATTCCGGAGACGGGTTCAGCAGGAGATTCTGCGGTTTGACATCTCGATGAATGAGATTTCTTGCCCGTAAGAATTGCAGAGCACTGGCGAGTTGCTTTAGGAAGTGCCGGACCACCACCTCATGAAGGCCGCCGTGTCGAGGATTGGGATATTTGACCATCATATTGCCCACCAGGTCACTGTCCTTGATCTCATTTCGTCTCTTGATAAAGTGGGAGAGGTCACCCAGGGCAACATATTCCATGACCAAATGTATGTGAGCACTCGATTCCTTGCAGTCGATGAGGGCTACGATATGAGGATGATGAAGGCCTTTGAGGATTGAGATCTCCGACGTCAGGTTATCCTTCAACTTCTTGTTCAGCTTAGACATATTGACGGATTTGATCGCCACAATGCTTTGCACCCCCGAATTGGTCTAGAGAAAGGTGTCAGTATGTCTTCCAGAACGTGTGGCTTGGATGGACGAACCGTATGGATGGCCTTGTAGACCGTTGCAAAGCTGCCTCGACCAATCTCTTCATGACGCTGGAAACTGCCTATCCGCTCCGACTCCTTTGACCTCTTGGAAGTGGATGATTGAGGAGGTGTGGACGCCATATTCTCCCTTCGCCTCCTCCGCCTACGTCGATGAACAAGGGTGGTGACGGATGGTCAGGCGAGGTGAGGTTGCTTCGGAGGTTATCTTCTACGCTGAAGAGAAGGATCCAAGGGGTTATGGTGGCCCATGGATTGCTCGGGATAAAGCGAACAACTGCGGCGGAAAGGGTAAAACGACCGATGAATGGATGGTTTGAGTCAACAGGTAGCAGGCGACCAGGGCTCGCTCAAGTCGTAGGAGTGGAGATGGCGCAATTGAACGGTAGGCTGCGTGATTTCGGGAGGCTGCGCAATTGTAGTGCAAAGAAGCTCAATAGACTCTGTGGGGGAGTAGGACTCAAGGTGCAGTGGTTAAGTCTAGATGTACAGCACAGATGAACCTCAGTTGGCCGGTGAAGATGGCGGGTTGTGAGAGGACGTGGTGTTAGTTGGGCGCGCGACCTCTGGGGGGAAATCTGTGGTTGGACGAGAGACGAGTGACGTGTGACTTGGAGGATGCGGAGCACTGCACTACCAGCGCAACGTACAAAGAAAGTAATGCGGCTTAAAGGACAGAGAAACGAGATAAGGAATCGATGAAGTGTTTGAAGTAGGACCAAAAAATAAACTGTAGGCAAAGGGAGATGCTGGATTCAAGCAGCGTGATGAAGGGGGGTGTGGGAGGAAGAGAGTCCGGAGTACAGTCAGTAGTATAGGGTTGCAGGGTTACAGGGCGCAGGATGCAGCAGCGTGCAGCAGCACGCACCGTACAAGGCCTCAAGGAAGTTAGTCATGCAGTCATTCGGTGTCGATAAAGAATTGTCCGATGTCTGGACGAATCTATCATCACACCAGCACCCGCCCGCTCCCAACGGGTAAAGACGTGGGTGATGGCGTGGTGTGGATGCTCGAAGGTCCCTTGTTCTGCCTGCGCTGACAGCCCACCTGCCCTCGGACTTTGGGGGAAAGGCGTGGGAGTGAACTTGTGACTCCTGTACCACTGGCGTCTACTGGTCCTCGCACGACTAATCCGGAGTGATATGGATGGAGCAAGAGATAAGGCACCTGGCCACCAGATGGTGGCATCATCTTCCCACCTCTCGCCTCGCTTGCTGATCAAGGCTGCAGTGCCAATCTTCCCCAGACACCTTTGTCTCTGTTTGCCACCAACGAATCACCACCTTCGAGCATCTGACTCCCACTGCGCCCAGTACCTAACGGAATCGTCCGACGAGTCCATCTTTACCAAGTGGGTTCGTTCTTCCGGATCTGCTTTACGTACCTGACGTAGTGGGAAAACAAGCGCAAAGAACCCTGACCAGCGTCCACGTGTTGAGTTCTTTCTACCGAGTACTCGTGCCGTCAAGTACCGACTCAGATGTGGTATCCGAGCACTTGCACGGCTAGAAATTACACGCGATCGGTGATGCGAATTCACTGCCGGGTCATATATCCAGGCCTCTGACCAGCAGCCAGAGGCCAACTGGAACTACCACATTGTCGTTGGCGGCGGTCAGGGTACTCTCCAGGAGGCTCGCCCCTGTCCCCGCAACCATGCATTTCCCCAGCATGAGAATCAGAGGATCGCCACCATGCCACGAGGCCCAGCCACCCAATCTAAGCCAGAGCCAGCTCGCCGACAGACCACAGGTTACCGCACAGGCAAACGCAAGGCTGCCCTCTAAGCTCTTACCTCCAACCCAGTACCATTTTGTCTTGCCATACCGCCGTCCAATTAAGCTGGCTGCTGCATCACCCATTCCTACACAGACAACGCCGCTTACCATGCTCAAGTCGCGCAATGTGGTGTCCCAGCCAGCCCAAGGATCTTGACCTACACGCGGCGCTGCAGCCAGTGACAACCATAACGGGATTGCACAACCGATCAACAAGAAAATGTGCGACACAATCACAGGCCCGCGATGATCCCGCCCGTCCACGTAAGGCGCCAGGAAAACAGTCAGGGGTTTGGAGATCGGAGGCAGTTGTGACGCTCGGAACAGGTCTAGGAGGAGGAAAATCGCCAAAATCAAGCTGAGCGCCAGAGCTATAAAACAAGGATCCACAAAGATGGTCGGCAAGAGCATGGCAACCATGATACCGTGAAAGACTTTGCGTCTTGTGTCGACTTCGACAATCGACGTGAGGTGAACAACAGTGGCTATTCCAGCCATGAGCACGACGAGGCAGTATGCACATATGGTGAGGCGTGTGGTAGCTGGTCCAAGAGCATGTTGGCGGGCATATTCAATACCGCCGTCTTTGAATGGTAACAGGGCCTCTGTTCCTCGGGCTGGGAGGCAGATCCATCGTTCGAGGTTGTTGCTAACCACCCAAAGTCGGAAGATGGGTAGATTGCCGAACAAATATCCCAATGCCCAACCTATGGGCTCATGGTTCGACAACGCCTGATGGCCCACGTAGAGCCGAACCGGTCCCAAGATTGTGATAATCACAAACATGTAGGCGACGGCCGCATATGCATACTTTCGCACTCGCGCTTGCGCCACGCTGAACGCTAGGAATGCCGCGGGAGGACCAGTTGGAGCCGGCTTCACCTTCTTCGCGCCTAGGGCCTGGTGCTTGCGCCGACTCTGTTCCAAGGTGGTGAATGTGTTTCTTCGAGGTGGTACTGACAGCGCAACCGTCTCCGATGAAGTGGCCTTGGATGGTTGCTGTCCAAAAGCTGACGCTGGCTTCTGAGCAGAGGCAGTTGCAGAACAAGCTCTGCCATTTAATTGCAACCTCAAGCGGGGCCTCAAGCCTGGCTTAGAATTCACAGGATGGACCTCATCCTCAGTATCCGAACTGTCTGCGTGCCGGCTTTTATACCTCCTACCCACAAGAACGCTGCAGAGGTATTGATCGAGTCTTGCTATTAGACCCACGGGCTGGCGTGAGCGCAGCAGCCTCCAGGTGGGCACTCGTGCCAAAGCGACTTCCCACATCAAAACATTCTTACATGTGATGAAAATGCTCAAACCCCCCAGCCAGATCATCGCCTTGAGAATCTCGGCTTGCGGCGTCCGAGCAAAAATGTAGAGATTTATGAGTGCTGATGAGAGGAGCTGTAGTTCTGATATATCCAGACTTGAAGTGGTGAGATACCCAAGCATCGAGATTAATGCCTGGTGCAAGGGAAATATGACCACCAGGATTTCCCTACTCAAGTGAGAGCCGGGATCTAGTTTCAGAGACAATGGTTTTGGAACTGGAGCGGACGATGATCGGTAATTTGAGGTATGGAGTGGTATAACGGAAAGGAGCCAGTGCAGATACATGCCAATGGCAGGAATCTTCGGCGTTGTTGTGATAATCGAGGGTATCGACGACAAACCACAGATGATTGCTGCTGGGAGAAAAGCCACGCTCTGGCGAAACAGAGAAACGGATATCATTAGCGGTAGCAGTACCGGATACAACAGAGGGCCAGGGTCAAATCGTGAGGGGATGTGAAATCCTAGCCTGAGTGCCTGCAGAATGGACTTTTTCGCAGCTACTGCTCGCACCGTGAGCCTGAGCGGATAAAGCAGATAGACAAATGGTGGGAGTAGAAGGAATGCCGTGACCTCGTTGAGCCAGTCTTTGAGGCCCGATGAACCCCCTCTGCTGTTCCAGACGACCACCCCAATGCCACAAAGAAGCGAGGTTTCTGTGCATCGCCGAATGATCTCGCGTCGCTTCCGTTTCTTATACGCTTCGTAGTCTCTGACTTGCTCCTTCGTCCGTTGTTTTCTTTTCCCAGGTTTCTGGACCGAGTCGAAAAATCGAGGCCCATCCCCCTCGACAAAGGCTGGCGGTGTGGGAAACGGGCTGTGGGCAGGGGTCAAGTTGGCAGGTGAAGTTCCTCGAAGACCCTTGTGTAAACGTGGAGGAGGTGCAGGAAGTCCCTTGAGAAAGGGGCCCTTCTCGTCGTCTGCCTCTGTGCCGCTTTCGCTGGACTCAGAACGACTGAGTTTCGGGGAAGGACCATGTCCATTGGTGACAACACCGTAGCCATTGTCAGCTCCCTGGACCTGCGCCGGCCTCAGGCTCTCTGCCCGCAGAAGATATGGGCGCGGCGTGCGAGACCGCGTCAGGTCATGTTGGTCGTGGATTTCCAGAGACGTGGATCGACCGGGTTCGTTTCTCGCGGACATCTGAGGGGTCATCGGAGGGCAAAGCCACGACCGGGCGCCAAACAGGTGGGACAGTCGTCGCAGTCTATCATAAGAAATCGTTTTCACGGCGGATCAGCAAAGTGTAGGAGAGGCACCGCAAGCACTGCAGACACGAAAGCCATCCTGACCTGGGATGGGCAGGTGGGCTCTTGTTGGGACAATGAGCAAGTAGTTCACATGCAACGGGAAGATTCTGGTGAGCTGAGAGGGCCACTTTGGTCTCTTTTTCCGAATTTTGTTCCTGCGGAGTGACGCAAGACTGGCTTAGTCCTACTTGTACTCGGGACGCCTATTTCGCGTCCCATCTCGCCATTATTTCAACCCGCATGATTTCAGGCATTTCATGCATTGACAGCATGGATACCCTAGGGACTTGTGGAAATGGGCGAGCAAATTCAATTGTTCCTGAAGTTCCAAAAGAATACAAATGATGTATTATATGCACATCTTTAATGCGGCATACCATTAACGAGCGCCGCCGTCGCCGTCTTTTGCCCGTTGGCCTTGGAAGCGACCATTTCTGGCGGAGGCACTGGACCAAACACGGGCTTCGCGATTTCGGTTGCCAGCTCCTCTTCCGCCTCATAACTGGCTTCATCATCATCGTCCTCGTCCTCGTACTCCTCGTCATACTCGCTTTCTGTGCCTTCGTCGTCCACAGGCTCTTGTTGGATCGGCCGGCCTCGACCTTGTTCCTGCATGATTTTGATGATGTTGCGCATCCGCTGCTCCTGCTTTCTCAGCCTCTCCAGATCCTCCTTGTCCCGCGTGCGTTCCTCGGCCATCTCCAAGATGTTCCGATTTGTTTGATCATGTTTGCGCGAGAGCGTGAGGTTTTCCTTTTCGAGTCGCTTCGTCTTCTTGGACATCTCCTCCATTTCTTTCCTAAATGTGAGGAATAGCTCGTTGCTGTTGTTGAGAGTGTCCTCCACCTGCTGGATGGTGAGCAAAGAGTTTCAGCTCATGCACCAATCAAAATAAGGTAAGGTAAGGGATAGATTTGAACTAACCTGCTTGAATTTCTCCACGTAGATGTTCAATTGACTGCGTAGCTCCGCTTCCGTATGTGAGAAGGTCGACACTTGGCTCGTCAGGGTCCGGCACCGAGCTGCTTCAGTGTCGGCCCTTCGACGCTCAACCTCGTGTTTGGCTTGCAGGTGCGCTATCTCGGCATCTTTGTGGCGAAGGATCGATTTGAAATGCATTTCCCGGATTTCGGCTTGGTCTGCTAAGACCTTGCATCGCGTTCTGAACCTGATGAAATATTAACCCAGCTCACAAAATGACAATGGGGTTGACTCACAGCTCGTCCAGCTCAAGGTGAAGGTTTTCGGGATGTGCGCCGGTCTTGGTGTTCATAGCTTCCTGCACATCATAGAGCATTTGGTCTAGACGCTCGTTGATGCTCTCTCGGGCCTGTTTCTCCGTCTCTTCAAGCTTCTTGTTGTCGTCTTTGAGTTTCTTGTTCTCTTTTGTTAATTCTCTGCACAGCTTTTCCAACTTGTCCTTCATCGTGGTTGTCTTGTTGTGCTCCGACTTGGATTTCTCCGCGTCCTTCTGGTACTGATCGCGACTCTTTTTGGCCTTGAGGTGTTCGCGCTCGGTCTTTTTCATTTCAGCAAGGAGCTCTTCATATTTCTGTTTGACGAGGTCGATCCCCTTCAGAGGTTCGACACCATTGATCAACTCATTGAGGTCGCGAATGGCTTTCTTTACTTCACGGTCAATCTCCGCCTGCTGAGCCTTATCACCTGCCTTCTCTTGCTCCAGCTGTGATAACCGCGCTTGTACTAGTTTTGCATTCTCCTCAGCGCTGAGTTGTTTGTCCTTCTTTCCCTTGCCTTTCTTCGCAGCGGGCGCGGGCGGGGGCAAATCGTGGCTGTCGCCATTTGTGGTTTGAGACGTAGGACTGTGCGCCGCGGTAGCCATATGGTCGGCAGCGCTGGCCCGTAAGCTGTGGCCTTTTTATGCCTGTTCAAAGCCAGTGGTAGCTTTTGAAACCCGTACAGACGGCTGTGGTGCCCGGCCTGAACATCTGCGACAAAGACTTTTAAAGTGGCGTCAGACAGCAATTGGACGCACTAGAACGTGAGAATTGTTGAGATATCTCTGGGCTATTATGATGACCCGTCTATTCTTTGCTGCGTGTAAATTATGTGGAACAGAGAGAGAGAGAGAGAGAGAGAGATAGTCCGGTCAAGCACAGTGGGAAGAGATCGTGCGAGGCGAACCTCGATCGGAGGACGTGCCGCGCAGATCTGGGATTTCCTTCACGGCCGAGCACTGTGTACAAATGCGCAATATACCGAAACTCAACGTCGAGGTTGAGGTGACTTACTTACTGCACACAGCAAGATTCGAAGGGACTATCGACAGCAATTATGCATACTTGTCTGATACCTATCCCAGCATACACAGATCCCCTCTTGAATCTGGTTAGAGACCTTGCTATGGGGAGAATGTGACACGTGACTTCTAGATTTCTTAATTCGGCGATTTTGGTTTGTCCTTCATCTTTCGCCTTCCAGTTACACCTGTGTTTGCTATCGTTAGGAACCTACAGACTGTAATTCCAAGCTTCTACTCCCGCATCGAACCACCATCGACCGACCCTTTAGACTCGTCGCCCTGATTCAGTGGCTACCTCCGATTCGAGCCTGCAATTCCCTCGGTCGGGAGATGCTTAGGCATGGCGTCGTTCGCCAGGGCATTCTGCGATGCGGCAGGCCGTATTTGTCCAGAAGAGGGTATGCGTCGGTGACAGACTTGAATAGCTATCCCACGCCTGGGGATAGCATACACGGATTCACAGTGAGAGAGATAAAGCATGTGCCGGAGCTGCACTTGACGGCATTGAGGTTGGAGCATGACAAAACTGGCGCAGAGTACCTCCATGTCGCTCGGGACGACAAGAACAATGTCTTTGCAATCAACTTCAAAACAAATCCTACCGATAGAACTGGCTTGCCCCATATCCTCGAACACGTTACGCTATGCGGGAGCGAAAAGTATCCCGTCCGGGATCCCTTTTTCAAGATGATGCCGCGATCGCTGGCCAATTTTATGAATGCGTTTACGGCTTCGGACTACACATCATATCCATTTGCCACTACAAATCTTCAAGATTACCGCAATCTGTCGTCAGTCTATATGGATGCAACTCTCCACCCACTGTTGAAACGTACCGACTTTTTACAAGAAGGATGGCGGCTTGGTCCGGAAGACCCCCGAGAACCCCCAACGGAGGACAATATCAAGTTCAAAGGAGTTGTCTATAACGAGATGAAAGGGCAGATGTCAGATGCCAGCTATCTCTTCTACATCAGATTTAGAGAACATCTCATACCATCTCTGCACAATTCTGGTGGTGATCCTGAGTTCATGACTCAGCTCACACACGATCAACTCGTCAACTTCTCCCGGAAGAACTACCATCCCAGCAACGCAAAGATATTCTCTTACGGCAGTTTAAGTCTAGCCGAACAACTTCGGTATGTGGACGAGGCCATCTCAAAATTCGAAAAAGCCACGCCAGATACGGAGATCAAGATGCCAATCAGTTTCTCCAATGGATTCGTCGCTTTCGAGGTACCCGGCCCGGTCGATGCGATGCAACCCCCTGACCGGCAATTTAAGTCTTCCATTTCCTGGATGGGATGTCCCTCCTCCGATGTGGTAGAGACCTTTTGTATCGGCATAATGATGTCGTTGTTGATGAGTGGTTACGGTTCCCCTCTATATCAGGGATTAATCGAGTCGGGCTTAGGAACTAACTTCAGTCCAAATTCCGGATACGACGCCTCTGCAAGGGTTGGAGTTTTCTCCATCGGACTAGACGGTATGAAAGCTGAAGATATTCCTGGCTTGAAAGAGACAATTCAGACAACTTTGCGACACAAAGCCCAGGAGGCTTTTCAGCCAAACAAGATCGAAGGTTACATGCATCAACTGGAGCTTTCCTTGAAGCATAAAACAGCCAATTTTGGGATGGGCTTACTGGAGAAAACTCTCCCTGGTTGGTTCAATGGAGTCAACCCAATGGATTTCCTAGCATGGAACGAAGTCATCGATGCTTTCAAACAGCGGATGAAAGAGGAGAAATATCTGGACCAACTTGTACAAAAGTATCTCTTGAACGACAACTGCATGCAATTCACCATGACTCCTTCGGAGACTTACGGTGCCGCCTTGGAAGCACGGGAAGAAGAACGGAGGAGGAACATTCTAGAGACAATCAAGAACGCTGCCAGTCCACCCGAGACCGCCATTTTGGAGCTTGGCCGGCAGGAACTTGAGCTCGTCGAGGAACAAGAGAAGGCTCAAGACAAGAATCTGGATACCCTCCCAACTCTCCGCATCAGCGATATCACTCGAGACAAGGAAAGAAAACCACGATATCACCAGAAGATAGGTGAAGTGGATTGCTTATGGCGTGAAACCGAGACGAATGGGATCACATATTTCCAGGCAAAGCACCTCTTCAGAAACCTCCCTAACGAGCTTAGGGTCTTGTTACCACTATTCACGGATTCATTGATGCGATTAGGCACCAAAACAATGTCTGTGGGAGATCTCGAAGCCGAAATTCTTCTAAAGACCGGCGGCATAACGGTGTCCTCATTTGCGGCGCCCGATCCGTGGAGTCTAGACAAATGTAATGAAGGGCTCTTGGTGGATGGCTATGCGCTGGACAGAAATGTACCAGCAATGCTTGATCTTATCCGCACGCTGCTATTGGACATTGACTTTACAAGTCCCGGAGCTATTGCTGCAATTCGGGAGCTTCTGGAATCTAAGGCTTCCGGGGCTTTGGATACAGTTGCGGAAAGCGGCCACCACTTCGCCGTCACGAGCGCTTCTGCTGCCCTGACACAAAGAGGGCGGATTCAGGACCAGCTCTCTGGACTCTCGCAAATAGAATCCACCGCTCGCATACTGGATCAAGCCAGACGTGATCCAGAAAGCTTGGTGCAGGTCATACAGAACCTGCAAACCATCCAATCGATAGCAATCGCCAACTCGGCCGACTTGTCGCTGCGTGTCGTGTGTGAAGCTGCCTCGGTCAAGGACAATCGAGATCTCATCCAGAACTTCCTTGCCCAAATACCACGAGCCCAGCCATCAGTGAGTAACTCAGTTCTATCGAGTGTGATACCGGGGTCGTCACTTTCACGACGAGCATTCTTCGACCTGCCATTTCAAGTCTCTTATACGGGAACATGCCTCCAAACTGCACCCTATAATTCACCAGACAAAGCACCCCTCACTGTGCTTGGCCAGCTCTTGGTCCACAACTTTCTCCATCCCGAGGTGCGAGAGAAGGGTGGCGCATACGGTGCGTCGGCGAGCGCGAGCCCGATCAGTGGACTGTTCACCATGTCGTCGTATCGAGATCCCAATCCTCGCACTTCGTTGAGTGTGTTCGAGCGCGCGGGAGTGTATGCCCGTGATAGGGACTGGAGCGGCCGCGAGCTTGAGGAGAGCAAGCTGAGCATTTTTCAAGGAGTTGACGCTCCCACAAGCGTGAGCAGCGAAGCAAGTAAAGAGTTCATGTACGGCATCACCGAAGATATGGACCAGGAGATGCGTGAACGCTTACTGAGTGTCACAAAGGAGGCTGTGCAGTCAGTCGCTCAGAAGTACCTCGTGGACCTCCCTTCGGATTTGAGGTCTATGTGTGTTCTGGGCGAAAAGAAAGACTGGGTCGAGCAAGATCCGAATGAATGGCAAGTCAAGACTTTGAAGATGTCAGCCAAAAATTAAGACATTGGGTGCAGTAAGTGCTGTACAACATTGTATATTTATCCACTCCTCCAAAGATACCCCAATAGAGCCCGACCAGCCAAATTGTTAACCAAGTCCCTCACCCTTTCCTTTATTTTCAACAGCGCGACTCAGAACAGAGCAACTACGTCTGCGACCGCAACAATCCCCCATGGTCGGAGATCACAAGTCATGGAATGCCTCGGAGCATTTCTTCCGCGCGAGATCGAGGCTTGGTGGTTAGAAGCTCTTGTCAGCAAACTCTGCTTTCGAGTTGATGTTTGCTGTGAGTGCCCAACTGCTGAGTTCAAGAGCATACCTATTTCAGACCTGTCTTATTCTTTGAGATCCAGGAAAGGCAGACTAGAGGTGTGCGTACATGTTATGCCATGGCAGGTTTCTCTCCTAGAGATTGCCTATGAGTCGCTCTCTCTTGATATCTCAAGCCATACGGTGTCACTTGCGCCTCAGCCATACTGGATTTTCCCACTATCCCAAATATATGTCTTCCTTATCCTGGCACTAACTCGGCACCGTCTATGTTTTCATCTTTTCACCTCCACTTGACTTCAAATCATTTGTCCGCACTCAATCACTCGGTCCATGCTGCTATAAGTCCACTCACGTATGGCAGTGCAGTGACGTAAATATCAATCTGTGCATGTCTGCTCTTCGCTTTACATCTTTCTGAGCTTTTATAATCACTTCTCATTCTTCCTATCTTCCTGGTTGACACTTATAAGTACGATTTAGACAACCACACCAACTACCTACGTGAAGTGAGCTTTCAGGTGGCATCGGGATACTTGACCATGGCTGTCACGGAGAGCGACCTCAGGACGTATGCATCTAGCAGCACTTTGTGTGCTCATCCACTCGTCTGACAAGGAGATAGCTTTGCGTCCTCCCTCAAGAAGGAATGTCAACCCAATGTTGATATCATTGTCAATGACTATCGATGGGCAGTGCACAGCCATGTCATCGCTGACTCAGGATCCTTTTTGGAACTTTACAGCAACGCGCCCCAGGTGAAGTTTTGACCCCCTCAAGTCCAGGTCACCTTGGCATGAACTAACAGAGACTTCTCCAAGTCAATAGGGTGGCAAGCGGCACGAAGTACATCTTGATAGTGATGAACCAGCCATTATCGCCCACTTGATCCGCTGGTGGTACACTGACGAATACGACGATGAGCCTGTGTCTGGCACCACTGGGCTCGACATACAAAGTCTTATGAAACATGGCAAGGCCTCGGCGTCCGGTCACTCCGACGAAGCGATTTCCAACCCTGACGCAGAACCCGTCGATGCTCCGGAAGACACTGGTTACGTGAATTCTTCTCCAATATCGCTGCACGCGAAGATGTATCTCATTGCTCACAAGTACAAAATCACCGCACTCCGCGAGAAAGCCACAAATGAGATGACGGAAATCCTCGGGATGGTGAAGGAGGCGCTACTGCCGTGTCTTTCTCATTTCTTTGTCACGGATGCTCCCGGCGATCGTTCCATGAGCGCCAACGTCGGCGTCGGTAACACTGGCTCCAGCAGTGGTACTGGTAGTGACCTGTCTTCACCACCAAACAAATACACGATCTCGGAACAACAGGACGCGGAGCTGTGGAAAGTCCTCGCCGAAACCTCCAGCCGACATTTTCTCTCGTACCACACCGATCCAGTGTTCCAGTACATTGCCACAAGTAACCCGCGCTTCCACTGGGATGTCATGGGTCGAGTCGCCAGCATGCTGGAGGCCGCACAGGACAAACTGGCGAGTACTCCCGCGGAGCCGCCAAAGCCACCCAAGAAGAGAGGGAGGAAGAAGCAGGAGATCACCGCACCGGGCACTGCTGGTGAGCCTGCCGAAGACAACGACAGTAGCACGAAGAAGGGAAGAGGGAGCGGAGCGGGCTTTCCGAAGAAGCTCAAGACGGAACCATGAACGAACTAGAGCGAGATGGGACGAGATGGGACGAGATGGGACGAGCAGTAAAGACTTACGAGAGGGGGGTGGGGTGGTGTTGAGGTTGGGGGAGAAGGGCTTCATTCGGGGGTTTGTACACATCTGCCGATTTTCATCGTTGGGGGATTGCTGCGGCGCTCAAAACGAAAAGAACTAAGACTCGTGCTGAAGGAGAAAGGTTGGCCGGTTGGTTTGACCTCGTCGCCCGATCATTGTCTCCTTTCCCCGTGGGAGGTTTGGATCATTTGGACAGAATAGGGTTGTTCAGCAGCTTGCTACGAGCGAGTCAGCCGAGCCAGAGAGACACAGAGAGAGAGATAGCGGGTCCCGAAAGGCAGAGATCATGATGAGGCACGACGCTCTCCCTCTATCTTTGAGCGGACCTTCTCAGTGGCTAAACAGTAGCTATTGACATGGCCTCAAAAGAGCAGAGCCAGTTTGGACAGTTCCGTCCGTGTCAGGTTTCTTCCATGCATGCTACACTTGGTTGCTTGATTGCCTGCCTGCCTGCCTGCCTGCCGCTTCGTTACTTGCTTGCTTCCCGCCTTGAGGGTTACTCACTTGCCCGCCTCTTGCCTGTGCCTGCCCATGGGAGGGGCGGGTACTCTTGAATCAGGGGAGACCGGAGACCAGAAACCAGGGATCAAGAATCAGGGATACAAGCACACAAGAGTCGCTGCGTCATACCGGATACCGTACATATACATACGCACATACGTACATTATATCTCGGATGTAGTCTTAACTTGATATAAAACGTCGCTTAGGATCCGAATTTCGAAGCCAAAATCTACCAAGACTTGTTGGCTGTGATTAGGTAGCCACTAGGGGAATCAGGGGGCCTCAGAGCCTAAGAGCCTCAGAGCAGCGCCACCAATAGACCCCCCGGCTGCCTGGTCGGCATGATCAAACACCCGTGGGTTGTCGCTCGCCCAAGGCTAGGTTTTGCGTGCATGCCGCATGCATGCTTCCGCTTTTCGACGGTCAGTCGCCAAATCTCTCATCAGATTTTGAGGTTGCACGGCGAGACGGTTAGATTCCCATGTTTGATTATGGGTGGAGCGTGCGCAGGCAGCAGTTCCAAAGGCGTCAAGATGTCTGTCTACATATTACTTGGAAACTACATAGGGGTACGGGAGGGGTGGAGGGGCGGGGGATGGGAACCCACGGCGCTACTCTAGGCTTCGGCGGGTCATGCCCACAGGGATCATTGGGCTTTGGTTGCGCTCGCTAATCATAGTGGACTGTGTTACTACTGTCTAGGTACAGCTATACCTTGGGATTGGTAACTCGTATCGCGTTTGTGTTACACAATACAGTGTCCTCCGTTACCACAGATTACAGCTTCTCCGTTCAGGCTAGCGTGGGAAGGAGTGGATCGTGGATCGTGGACCGTGGACCGTGGCATCTCTATCAAAGGGATGAAACCTTATCGGCGCTCGCTGTGGGGCACCGTTCAGAACGTGTCCAGGGCATCTTGGCCTCGTTGGAATCCACCTGGCCGTTTACGGATAATTGCGTGGTGCATGTATCCAGAGCAGCCAGAGCAGCACACCAACTCTACACACGCGTCTGGAACATGAACTCATAAAAGGCCACGCAGCAATCTGACGAGCATCTATTTAAACAGGATGGATGAACATGACACGGCTTCTATCCTCTTGATAGAGTCACCAATCCTTCTCCCTGCAATCCCTTTCTTCTCTTGGAACGAAATCCCATCTCGATAGTAAAGAAAATGACTTCACCAGACGTTCGGCCAGAACCCCACCCTTCCACAGTCTTTTCCCTCGTCCCTATCAATCCAAGGGCAAAAGCGGTGCTGGACCACCCCTCCAACGGTCACCTGATCTCTGTTGTCCACAATCCCGACGATCCCTTGAACAATTTGGGAATCAACGTGGGTCCGCACATTAGTTCATCCTCACAATATGCCCTGACGACACTCGGACGGGGTGGTACAGACATCACACTGGAAGGAGCAACCATTTCACGCACCCACTGCTCTTTTGACATTAACCAGGAATTCGGTACGATTCTCCTTCACGATCGATCAACGGCTCAGGCAACCAACTTCTTCGGTGAAGATCGTCAATCCTTTGAAAAAGGCCGAATCCGACGAGTCGTTGTCGCCCCGGCGGTGAACACCCTTCTAGGCATTGGCGGCCACGATGGCCGACAACTTTTGTTCAAGCTGCTTTGGCACAAAGAAGTGATCAATTGGAAGGACATGCTGAAGATTCAAAGTCAAAATTCTTGTGACACCCGAACTGTATCATCTTCTAGATGTCCAACATCGCTTAACACCCCTGCGGCACCATCTTCCACGGCCCGCTATGCTAGCCTCCACAAGATAGGTACAGAAACCTTTGGGGATGTCTGGCAGGCAGTCGAGACCGACACTGGCATGCTTATAACTGTCAAGGTTGTAAAAGATTATGTGCATGGCACCAATGACGTGCGACGGATGATGGTAAAACGAGAACTTGATACTCTTGCGAAGCTCTCTCATGTGTGCCATACCCCCTTCTTCCCCAGACTTGCCCAGCTGACCATCACAGCCGCATGTTGTTGAGTGTAAGGGCTTTTGGCAAGATCTCGGATCTCTTACAATTCTCATGGCCCTGAGAGATGGGAACGTTGAGGACTTGATTCATCAAGGGGTCTCTGAGCCAACCTCTGACCGACACCTGGCTGTGACTGTTTTACGCCATGTTCTTATCGGGATTCATTATCTCAGCAGCAAGAACATCGCGCATCGCAATCTCAAACCAGCGAATATCATTTTCACCAAGAACACAGAGGCGGGCTGCCAGTTTCAGATCACCGACTTTAGCGTTGCAAACTCTGCAAGCAATACCACGACTGTGGTGATGTCACCCCGATATGCAGCTCCTGAGGTTCTGTGCAGTGACGGTAGGCTCCAGACCTCCAAGGCCGATATCTGGTCTCTATTCGTCACTATGGCACATGTCCTGAACGTGGATGGCTATAGGGACAAAACTTTTGGCACACACGCCGAAATAATCCAATCCGCGTGCAACGCAGCCGAAGACCGGGATATGTCTGACATCAAAGATATGGTTATTGTAGAGCCTGAGGAACGGGCTTCAGCGGCTCAGATGCTACAGAGACTTCTTGGAGGGGAGCTTGGCTACGCCGCCTGACCAGGTTGACAAACACACAGACGACCCGGACCAGGACCATGTTTCGTCACCAGTTCCCAGCACGACGGGTCCCGCTGGTGGCAAGAAAGGAAAAGGCAAAGAAAGAAGCGTGTAAGAGTCTGAGCGTCCGGGCCTCAGTCAGGGTCCAAAGGAAGACGGGAAAGGGGGGCCCCCCTCCAAACTCAGTGCTTTCACCGGCTGTCGCAAAGGCTGCACTTCGGCAGGGTATTCACCTGTTTGACGGTTCCCATGTTGTACGAATCTCTCCATGATACGTACGTGCGTTGTTTGTGAGGAAGTCGGGGTTTGGCTTGGTCCGGGGTCGGTTTGGTGTTGTACTCGGGTTGCGGAACTAGGATGTTTTCTCATTCACGGTCGCTAGCTGTATTCTTTTATATCCACTGTGGTCTGGGCGAATGTCTTTCTGCAATCGATCCTTTCTCCCTCATGGAATGACAACCGACAACAACGGAGCATGCAATTAAGTGCCAAAGGTGTCCCGCTCTCCAATGCTGCCCCGCGGCCACGGTCTCTTGAAAGTGCACTTCCAGCCGAGTGCGGGCTCGAAGAACATCAAAGTGATGATGTCGTCTGTGGGCTTGAGACCGTAGAGTTTCCGCACCGTCTCGGCCGTCAGCACATTCAACTGCTGTGCCGCTCGAATTCCGAGTCATTGGCGAAAAGAATGTCCAGCGTGATCTCAAAGGGCCCCGAGTTCTTGGACCGGACAACCGACGCGAGATCTCGAATGGCTCTTGGACCCGGTTCCGCTGTTAACCTCAATGCTGCTAGGGATCACATCACATCGTTAGCACCCACGGTGTACGGAGGTATGCAGCTGAGCTCCTCGAGTGACACACTTCCATTTCGCAGACGTCCCGTTAGCTTGGGCAGGCGAGGTCTTCGTCATCGTCCCGACTGAGAAGACATGAATCGGAAACAGTGCCTTGAGATCACCAGGCTGCCCGACATTTAGATCTGGTCATCCTCCACCTTTCGGGTTTATTTGGTACAGCCTTACCCAGCAGAGTATTCAATTGTTCTCAACGGCATCAAGAAGCTGTACCGTCTTCAAAACAACTACAGAGCAAGTATTGGGGCTGGACACGGTTCATATCCCAGTAGTTGTCACTGCCAGGGCGGACAAGACTCACCCAAGCAGGTGCTGGGGGTGAGGTGTTTAGGTATATTCCGTCTATTTCGACTACAGTCCACCCCATTTCTCTTTCCACTTTCCTACTTGGCTTCACTGGATTTCACTTGGCAAACACAAACGATGGATACCTGGTCTCGGTCTCCTCGGCCAGTTTGGCAATATAGTTCTGCAGGCCAGCCAAGAAGAAGGCACTGTATTTCTTCTTGCCCTGCACGTTGTCGTTCTGGATCCATGACTTGACCTTGTCAAAGACGGTCGCCTTGGAGATCTGCTGGACGACTTGAGCCCACTCCGCCTGGGCTTTGGCGTCGGCCTCGACGGTCTTGTCGCCCCTGTTTCTTGCCTCCTGGATGAGCTTGATGATGAAATCCCCTTGCAACTCGATCGAGGGGAGCATGTTTGCAAACGGACCGCCAGGCCCGGTAACGGTGAAGAAATTGGGAAATTCGGCCACGCTGACGCCGTACAAGGCGTTGGCCCCTCCCTTCCACGCGTCTGCCAGCTTGAGTCCCCCACGTCCAGTGATGTCAATGTTATGATAGGCGCCATCGACCCCGTCGAACCCCGTGGCATACACAATGATGTCGAAGTCAAAAGCCTTGCCGTCCTGAAGTTCCAATCCCGTTGGAGTGATCTTGGCGATGGGGTTGTTGGCTACGTCCACGAGAGAGACATTAGGCTCGTTGAAGGCCTCATAATACCCCTGTGTGCAAAGTGGGCGTCCACCATAGTGTCCCTTGGGTTGGAGCAGTTTTGCCGTCTCAGGATCCTTGACGATTTGGGCAATCTTCTCGCGAACAAATGCCGCTGCCGTCTCGTTCGCCTCCACGTTGGTCCCGAGGTCGTTGAAGGTCTCGAAGAAGAACCGGAAGCCGCCGCCTTTGTTCCAGATGCGTTCATAGACTTCTCTCCTCTCTGCTTCCGACACCTCGAGCGCCGACTTCTTGCTCTCCGTGAAACCCATGGCGAAGAGCGAGTTGAACACCGTGTCCCAGATCTTATCGTAGTTTTCGTAAATCTCCTTCTTTTCTTCCTCGGTCACTGGTCGATCATTGACGGGGACGATGTATTGTGCCCGCTGTTGAAAAACCGTGATTTGATTGACGAGGTGATGGATGGACCCGGTGATCTGGCTTCCGGATGGTCCAGTTCCGATGACCGCGACACGCTTTCCCGTGACGTCGAGACCCTTGGGCCACCGAGCAGAATGAAAAGATAGACCTTTGAAGGAGTCCCGTCCTGGGAAATCCGGAATGTAGGGGTTAGTTAGAATCCCAAGGGCGGTGAGAAAATAGGTGGCAGAAAATTGGAGGCCCTTGTCTGTGGCGATAAGCCAACGATTGCTCTTCGCGTCGTAATGGGCCGAGACAACTTCGTTCTCGAAGACATAGTTCTTCAAGACACCGGACTTTTTGGCCGTGTCGACGATCTGCTCCTGGAGGTCTTCGGCCTTGAGATATCGCGTGTTCCATTTGGGCGGGTCACGGTCGTCGGAGAAGCGATAGACCCAACTCTCAGTATCAGTTTGGGCCCCGGGATACTGGTTCCAGTACCAGGTTCCTCCCAGCGCACTGCCCTTCTCGATCGCGACAACATTCGGCAGATGGAGCTTGTCCTGGAGAAGGCTGACGAGACGTATACCGCCAAATCCTCCGCCGACAACAACCGCGTCCACTTCCTTTGGGGTGGTTGGCATAGTGGTTCTTGGTGGGAAGAGTTAAGAGAATATGATTGGCCCGGTAGATATTCACAAGATATAAACGATGGGACACGAAGGCGAAGAACTGCAAACCTGCCGGCTGATCTAGTAGCTCTGGCTAGTCACGGGAGGCAGTCGTGGAGACGGCACCGGTTGTTGAGGATTGTTCTACTCTGCTACTTTCTTGAAAATAATCGTCGCAAGGACAAGGTGGCATGCAGAGAAAGATATAGTCGATGAATACCCTCACCTGACACACTCGCAAGCCTGATCGCGCCATCCTATCCTCACTGGCACCGAGTCGGGCGTGATATTGTATTCGGCACTAAAATTGCGCAATCGGATAAAGCTGGAAAGCCCAGCCAGCCGGCGAACTGAGATGTTTGTCTTTGCGCCTCGTACACGAATGGAGAGAGAAGTAGGAGAAAGAAGAAGACTGAGGCACTAGAGGTTCGTATACCCATCACGTCTTTCCCTGCCAAACTTGCATCAGGCTGGGCGAGAAAAATGGGGTCACCGTACACTACAGTACTCTAGTCCATATATAGATTAGCATATAGTATGGGTCCCCCGTTAAGTGGGGTACCTTGTTCGCTTGGACCCCAGATCCACTCTTGCCCTTCCTGGCACTAGCAAGGCTGTGGTAACTGGTTACCATCGCCGGGACTCAAGCTAGGGTGAGGCTATTTGCTTTCTTTCTTGCCTTCTTTTTCAGCGATAGATCACCTTTTCCTAACAGTTGTACGACTTCAATGCATTTCATTGAAGCCCTTGCGGTTTCTTGAGGTGGCTTCTGCCGACAACAGGCCGTGGCAATGAGTATTTGGCAGGCTTGAACACTCGAGGCCAACAACTCCTACGCCAGTAGTCGTTACCCTTGCACAACGTTTCCGAGAGAATACATTCAGGTGCAAGTCTAGGCGTTCCTGTCTGAATGAGAATCATGCCAGTCGCCGATAGAATACCGAGATCGGAGAAGAGATCCAAAATCTTGTGTAGAAGCTGATTCTCAAGGTATTGATAGTTCATGCGATTCACAGCTTCATTCAACCATTCGTAACAAGATCACGTCAGATTGCTTAACAGATTCATTCACCCAAAGATGCTCTGGAATTCCGTTAAACACTTCACCATTATTATGGCAGGGTTTCCAAACAATCTCAAGAATAGGATAGAGCCCGTATTCATACAGAGCGCCGCCACCGCTTCACCATGACAAGGCAAGTTATTGTCTCTATTGATGACAATAGATCTAGAAATGGCTTCCTCTGCCTTGAGTGGGTATAAAACTATCAGACATCTCTTTGACATTCTCAGTCTCCCTTTAATATCATCAGACATTTCCTCAGCGTTCTCGGATCTCTTTGGCACCATCAGACATTTCTTCAACACTACAAACCCTCTTACGGCATTGCATACAATATGGCTACTCTTCAAAAGAACTACGTGATCTATCTCGTCTCCTACATGCGTATCATAGCTACAAGTTCTCACCACGCAATCTACGTTGATATCGACGAGGGTAAGAGTGGGGAGTTACTCCATGTGACAGGTTCCATTCAACAGGGCATGAATTTTGAGGCCAGAACGTCCTCGCATCCCTTCAAGGGTACAACATGTGAATGGATAAAACCAGCAGGACGAGTTCAGCAAGACAAGCTCGCCCAGCTCGAAGCAGCCTGCCGAATGATCCCTCCACCAGCAAAGCAGTTCCATCTGTCGAAACCACTTGTCCCAAAAGACAAAATCCGTCATTGCCAACACTGGGTTGCCGAAGCCATCGAATTCCTGAGAGAAAAGGGCGTCCTCGAACCACTGGGGGAGGACGAAAGTGGGGATATCACCCAGCGCTGGTGGGGTGGAAGGTCGTAAACACTCGACCACCATGGCGAGTGATGTTCTGGTGCCGCAGGGAGAGGCCAAGGGACAGTAAATGCCGCGAAGTACAGCCCTGTCATATGTCATTAGGATTGATACAGACGTTGGGCCCCCGTGGATGAGCTAAACTAACAGTACACGGCCGCCGGTTCGGGGAAAGCATGTGGATGGTCGCCAAACAAGCTGGTGTGAGTGTGGGGCAGCACGGAGAGCGTTGATGTTGGCAGCTGGCTTTGCGAGATCCCATCTTTGGTTCGTCACGAGGAACGGAGACAGCCTACAGGGACACGTCTGGGAATGGGAGCAATTGGAAAGGGCTTACCAGGAGGGTCGATCTCCTGGCCCATATTGCAGATTGGTAGAATCTCGAGCTAGCAGGCTGTTCCTTTGTGCTTTTCCTCTTTGCCTCTTTTTGTCCTATCAGCTTTCTCTGTTTTTGCCCTACACTGCGAGGGGCCAGTCGTGGCATGCAGCAATCCTATCAGTGCCCAAAATGGCCTCAAGCCAACTACCCCTAGCCGCCCCAGTGAATCCATGCATACATTTGAAGCATCCACCCATATTCAGCAACATATTCCTTGAAAACTCGTGGCATCCACAGAGTCAAATCGGTCGGGTGATGATGATGAGAGGTCATCATGTTGCAGTACTCGACGTAGCTCGGATACCACCCTGACAACGACCAGTCGATTACCACTACCGTATTATCGTCGCGGACAATTATGTTGGAAGGATGAAGATCGGCATGTGTGAAGACAGAATCATGGTTTTGGAAAATCGAGTGGCACAAATTCTTCCTGGTTTCGAAAAGTGCGCGATTTTCGATGGGGTAATTCGCGTCGGCGTTTCGAATCATGGTGTCGACCCATTCCTCCTCCGTATCGCATGGCGGAACGTCACTCTTCTCAAGCGCTCTCTGTCCACCCGTCACATAGCCCTCGAGGATGGGTTGTCGCCATAGGCCACCAAAATAGCCGGGTGATGGGAGACTGCGGAGTTCGTCAAAGTAATGACGCAGTTGGGTGACCACCGCCTCCTTGCCACTTTGATTAGCCTTTGGCCAATACTCTCCCAACCCCTGACCTGAGATGTATTCCTGGACGATGAAGTTGTAACCAGTCGCTTCGTCGTGAAAAATGGCATAGATGGTCGGAACGGATAGGCTCGTAGCTTGCTGGACGAAGAGTGTATTTTCACCCTCCCGGAGGTCAATGTCTGCCCCGAATTTGACAACAAAGTGCTCCCCAACACGGACAACGTTAGGGTGTGGATCGCCGGTGAATCTCTTCAGGTGGGTTGTGGAAGCTAGGATCTCGGCGACAGTAGGCAGCGGGCTTGGGAGCCGGTCTGGTGGCACGAAGTATGGTAGGGTCGGACGCGTTGCCATTTTGCTTCCTGTGAAACGGGTGTCTCTTTTGTCTTTTTTGAGTCAACCAAAGGGAAGGAGCTGCCTGAGATTCTCAGGAAGCGTTAAATGACTAGGAAGATAGAACCGGAAGACAAAGCGAGAGACAGACATATTTAAAGGCCTGGATGAGGTGACAAAGTACAGACCATTCGAAAAAGCAGCGAGTCTTAATGCATACAAAATCTTGGCGCGCGGCACGTGGTGTGGACAAGTTATGTCAATGTCCCAAGAAGTGAACGGCGTTGACTTGGAGTGTAGATTTCCACTTTAACCTTCAGCCAGGGCCCTTTAGTCTATATACACCTAGCCAAATCCTAACGCGCCCAGGGCAATGGAATCTATTCAGAGACCATACTAACATTTCTATAATATGAGATCAATCTCTACGGTAGACTACTTTCAGTGGGGGATCACTCGAGACAAGGTCCTATCAATAGCCCGGTCTGTGAAGTGAAGTTACGCGATATAAGGAGTGCGGGGATTAACACAGGTGTGACCAAAACTTGCCGCAAAATGACGTGGTCCACATGGTGACATGGTAGAAGTGACTAGGGCATCGGGACGAGCCGAGAGACCCAAAATGGTCTAGCTTCGCCTGCTTCCATAATGTCGATTCTAAAAATGTTTGCAGCATTTGCAGTGATTGTAATGTTTGATATATATGCAGTGTTTACAGCGTTTCTCCTGTTTGGCATATGTCGTGTCACCAGGACAAGGTAACAAATAAAGACTTCAAATCTCAGATTATTTTTCAAAGGACTTCGCTGTAAAAGCACAAATATTCTTCAAAGTCTTTTGGCACCCCTTCGCTCGGTTAGGAAATCCTGTGATCATTGGTGATAGGGCAAGCCAGCTGGGACGAGGCCTTCGGAGGTTCTCCCAACGGCCGTCTCTTATACACCTCTTACGCTGCCGACGACCTACCCTGTGTGAATTCGGGGTGGCACAGACAACGCA